ATGGCGCCGTTCTCGATCCGCACTTTTCCTGGGTTCAGACTGGCGAGTCGAGCGTGGGAAGCCTTGACGAGGAAGACGTCAAGAAGCTCTGGAAGGTCGAGCATGGCGTGGACCTCGATGAGTATCGCACGGCTATCGAGAAGAAAGACAAGCAAAAGCTGGAAGAGCTTGAGAAGAAGCGCAAGAACTTTGTGCCGGACCCCATTGCGGTTCGCACGGCTGTCAGGGAGGTCGCCATCAAGCTGGGCGCTGTTGTCGCGGACAGGAGCCCCGTGGAGTGGGAGTCGGAGCCGCCGTTGAGCGCTGAACAGTGGGTGTTCTTCCCTACATACCCGTGTGGATAAGGGCATCTATGGCCCTGATCCCTGTCTTTTGTCCCGCTGTTGCAGCTCTCCACATGGGCGACTATTTCCTATGCTGACATGTGTTTTTTTTTCGTACAGGATCGCTGAGATGGAGGCCAGGATTGGCTCTGGTCTGATTGAGGAGGTTGTTCAGGTTGCCGAGGGCGAGCTTAAGCTCGTGGATATCATGGCAAAGTCCAAGCCGTAAGTTTGGTTACTTAAGCATCATGATATTGTTGGTCAGGTAGACTAACCCGTCACAACAGTTGGGAGGCTCCTGAGGAGGATGCGCCAGCGGGCCAATGGGTTTACTTTGAGCGTAAGGAGTAAAGAAAACATCGACAGACATAGAGAACGGGAACACAGAACCACTCTGGCTCAGACGGCCAGTTGCTTTATGAGCGTTATGAGAAAGGGATGGGAAGGAGAGGGCATTTCCCAGTCAGTTGTACCAATACCACGCCGGGAGATGTACATAATCATAGACTTTGGCAGGCGGGAATGAATGTGTCCTCTCCACGGTGTAGTGGATTTGAACCATCAGCTTCACGAATGAACAGTACGCGAAAGGGAGTAACTATCTAGAGTCGGACGACATAGTGGTGAGGATAGGATGTCGTTGATCGTGTACTTTGGAGGTACTTGATGACATGCCATGAGGACCGTGCTTTGGCAGGTACCGTTGGAGTACCTTCCAAGGTTCCCAACTTGCACTTTACATGGACGCATGTCGCGTCCCGCAACGCGTGTGCTTAAGCATCTCCTCGATTACAAACGCTTCAATGACCATGAATGTGGAATTTTTGGACGATGACAAAGACTTCATTCCAGTATCCGGATAGCAGTGGGTCATTGAGTCGAACGTGAATGAAATCTGATGCAAATTTGTCGGACCGCGCAAAGCCTGTGCCCCTGCCCTCGATTGAACCTTGACCACAATCACGAGCCATTGAGATCACAAGGACGACGGACGACCTAAACCCGAGATCGATTCTGGAGGACCAAGGTCAACTAGTTTTCAATTAATCGTACTTCTTAATAAGCAGTCTGTTCTTGATTATCCGCTTGCAATCACCAACGCAATGCCCTCGAATAAATCCGACGGCAAGCCCCCCTCCTCCAACGAGTGGGATCTACCCAAGTTGAGGGCTTCTCTCAACTTTCAGGTATGCCTTCACTGAGTGTTACACACTGCCTCACATACAACCACAAATCAGTGATGAAAGCCCCATGCTAACCATCTTTTTCTTGACCCCCAATAGGACGACTGGAAAGACCCTGTGTCAGGAGAAGCGATAGCACACGGTAAGTCGGCATAACTATAGCAGCCTTCATCACCTTCAGACCCAAAAGGTCTTGAATGGCCCTGAATGAATCCCACGCTAACAAACATTACCCATTCAGAATTCTTCGACGTAAAGTTCTACCCCTACAATCCCCCAGGCGCACCTCCTGTGTTTGCCATAGCTAGTAAGAAGCATGTACGTCTTCTTTCACTCTCACTCATCTTTGTCTCTGGCATCTATCGGCCTCTTCCATTACAGAATGAAAAAAGGACCAATATATCAACATGCTAATCATCATTCACAGGTCATCATATGTCGCATCAGCCAGAATGCGGACAGCAGTACCAATCCTGTCGAGGTGTTGAAGTTGATAAGGGATGATGATGTGAGTATACGAACCTGTGGTCTTGCGGATAGTTAGTTTTGAGAGCGAAAATACCAATGCTACTTATGGTTACAGGAAAACGCAGCAAACTGTTCATGCTGCTGGTCCAAAGACATGGAGACCGGCCAGCCATGGCTTTGTATAGCCGGCGCCGACGCAAAAGTGAAAGTATACGATGTTAAGGAAGGGAAGTTAGTCAAGGTGAGTCTCATTCCCGACACCATGACCACCTGAGTGGTGCTGATGATGAAGCAGACCCTAGTCGGCCACGGCGGAGGCATAAACGACCTCGTCACCTCCCCTTTGACCCCCTCGCTAATCGCCTCCTGCTCCGACGACACCACCGTACGCATCTGGTCACTTCTGCCTATCCACAGCCAGCAACCATGCATGTTCATCTTGGGAGGTGACGCCCACATCTGGGATCTTTTGAGTATCTCCTTCCACGGCACCGGTCGCTACTTGTTATCAGCCGGCCACGACCAAAGCATCAATCTCTGGACTATCCCCCCTTGTCCCAAGGAGCACGTCACTCACCCGCTCGTCATCCACTACCCGCACTTCTCGACAAAAGAAATCCACAATAGTCTAGTGGACTGCGTCTCCTTTTTCGGAGACCTGATTTTGAGCAGGGCATGTTGGGAGGAGACCATTGTGTTGTGGTCTATCTCGGGGTTTTCTTCTGCTGCTGCTGCTGCTGCTGCTGCGTCTGAATCTCACCTAGATGCCACCGCCACCGCCAACCCCCCGTCCCCTTCTTCCTCTTCCCTTCCACTCCCACTACCCCACGAAGGAGGCGCCCCAACAACCTTCGACCCCTCCAAGATGACGAGGTCCGCCTTCTGGCAAGCCACCGACCTTTCTCCCGCCACCTGCCCGTCCTACTTCACTCGCCTGCTTCAATTCAAAACCGTCGATTGCAAGGGGCAGTTCTACCTACGCTTCAAAGTGCTTCACTCCCGAGGGAAACATCCCGTCTTGGCATTTTGCAACGCCAAGAACAAATTCATGTTTTGGGATTTGAGTCGGTTAGGCACTTGGAATCGCTGGAAGCAAGAAGTTACGGAGGCTGAAGAGGAGGGAGGTGGGAGGGATATGGCGCTGCTACAGGGTGTGAATGTGGGTGTGCAAGCGCCCGGGTGGATGCCTGTGAGGAAGGCGCTCAGGAAGACGGCGGTGACGGAGGGGATTACGTGGTTTTCTTCTTCCACTGCTGCGGGGAATTACAGGACGGCGGCGGCAGGGGGGTTGGCAAATGTCGCGTCCTCTGCTACTGGACGGACGTCGGGAAGACTTGGTACCGGGACGTCCACTAGTCCTGATCCTGAAACTTTGCTTTCTGCTGCTTCTGCCGGTACTGGGACTGGTAGACCAGGTTCGAGGGGCTCTACTACTACCAACGTCACCACAGCCACTGGCACCACCGCAGCCGCCGGTACGGTAAACAAACTACCAGGTATCGGACTAGGAGGATACACCCAGAAGCAGATCGACGAGTGGAACGACCAGTGCGATATCACGGACTCGCACAACGAGATCAAGCCGCATAAGACGGTAACGGTCGATCCCAAGGGACAGCATTTTGTGGGGAGACAGGTGGCCTGGAGTCCGGAGGGGGATTGGTGTGTTGTGGTGGGAAATACGAATCGGGCTATGATTTTTCAGAGGTGGGGGCAGTGAAGATACGGAGGGGATGGACGTTAGCTCAAAGAGAAAAGGCTTAAGGAAAGGAATCGGAGAACGAGAAACGGGGATGAGACATTGTTGGAAACGATGAGATTATAGATGATATGAGAGAATTGGTTGAGGCGTGTTTGACGCTTTTGGGATCATAGGTAACAAGACTTCGTCATACTTAGATCGTCTTGACATATATCTTAGCTTGTATTGCCTTGGCTCTTCACGCTGTTTTAGGATGTTAATATCGGCTTGAATACTCCTAGCACATATTACCTCAACGGTAAAGAAAACATACCTCTACCTCTTTCCTCCTCCCTATCGCCCTCCTCTCCATCCCCATCATCACCATCACCACCACCACTAATCATCTCCAAAATCCACTCATCCCCCTCCTCCAACTCCCCTCCTCTCATCTCCCTCATCTTCAAGAACAGCGTTCTCGCCCTATCCCTCTCAGCCCCTTGCGCCCTCCTCCCTTCCTCTTCCAGAATCCTCTCCTCATGGGACTTCCACCTATCAACTTCCTCCCTCTCCTCATTCCCCACCCCCTCCTCTTGCTGTGAAGCAGAAGCAGAAGCAGTAACAGAAACAGGCACGCTCAAATCCCCCACATAAAGCGCAACCATCGCTCTAAGTCTTAACATCTCCCCGTCCTTGTTATACGGCGTATTCTCCATCACGGCGTCCATCCGTCTTGCTACGTCCCTCATTTGTTCGAGAGCTTTCAGACGGAGTTTATCTTTTTCTCTTCTCAAGCGGACTTCGGGGCGGCGACCGTGTCGTGAGTCTTCTTCGAGTTGGGAGCGGTAGAGGGGGAGGACGTTATCCGTTCCTCCTTGATAGCCCAACGGTGGTGAAGAGCGAAGGGGGTCGACTATCCCCGATTGTTGACCGAAGGCGTCAACATCCATTCTTTCAGCGTTGGCGTCGGCGTCGGGGCCGAAGCGGTCTTCTAGCGGTAACTCGTCATCGTCGTCATCGCCCTCATCGAGGGGGTCGAGGAGTGGTCGTCGCTCAAGTTCCTCAACCCCATACTTATGTTCCGCAAAAGAAGCCTCCATCTCGAACCCAAACAGCGCCGGGTAGAAATCCAACGCACCCATTTTTTTTGGGGTGCAGCCTGCTCCAGGGGTGCAGATTAATCAGCGTTTCGTAATAAGCCCTCACCTGCTCGCGATTCTTGGCCGCGCGCAGCAATCGCTTTCGTTCCCTCCGCTCCTTGGAATCTTCGCCTTCCATTCCTTCTTCTTCCTCCTCGCCCAATGTCCCCAATCCCAACCCCAACGTACCATCCTGCGTGCCTCCCTGCGTCCCTTCCCCTCCCCACAGCTCCCCCAAGTTCTGGTGATCCCTATCCCTATCCTCCCCGCTTCTCATAAGTATCTCAGCACCCATCTCCCAAAACCCCCCAAACCGCAGATCTACCTTCCGGCCATTAACGTCCGCCCTGACTAACAAACCAAACGCCCTCCTCGCGAGACTGATATCCCCCTCGGCCAAACAGCGGTGGATAATAGCCACTAAGGGGCCAACGCGCGATTGATGCGCTTTGTGGAGTTTGGCTGTGCTACGGACTGGATCCCGCTTCGTGATAGGTTTGCCGGTGCTGGTGACTGATACCGAATCTGCGTCTGTGGTCCAGCCTTCAGTTCCGGCGTCTGTGCCGGCGGTGGTTGTGTGGTCATCGTCGAAGTCGAGATTGGAATCGGAGTTATAGGTGGTGGAGGCGAAGCTATTGAGGCGGGAGCGGGTTGTTGAACGGGAGCGGGAATGAGAGCGGGATGAAGTGGGTGAAGAGGGGAGTGGTCGGTGGGGGAAGTCAGGGTAGATGGAAGAAGGGAGGGGCGCGTCCGAGGAGTTACCGGCTGGGAGAAATTGTTTGAGGGTGGACGGGGGGTGGGAGAAGGGGTTGATGATGGTTGAGGAGGAGGGGGCTGTAGAGTAGGTGGTTGAGGTTTTTGAGAGGGCGCGTTTGCGCTTGTTTGGAGAGCGAGGGTCCATGTCCGGGTGGTTTATGAATGTGATCAGCCAGTTATTGAGTGTGTTCGGTGTTGAATTGAAAGTATTGAGGTTGTCGTTGGTAGTAAGTCTTGGAGTAGTTGTTGATGAGTGATGTTTGTGATGTTCGGTGAAAGATTCGTGAACTGGAAAGCGAGTGAAAGAAAACTCAAAGACTCAAATTTTCGTTCCTCAACCCCGCCTTGTGAACCGTGCATTAACCTTTGGAAAACTTCCGATGAAAATGAACAGATGGATAACTGCTTCTGTTCTTATACAGGAATCAATTTCTTGTCAAAATGTCCTCACCTAAGACTTTGCTTGACGCAGTCGAAGGTTGTTTCGTACCAAATCTTGGACCCACTTGGCAATGGAATACCAATCTCAGGAGCTATGCCACTTACACCAGACATAGCACTCATCTGGCAAGGACGTCACAGCTTCAGGCATTCAACACGTCCTCACGGGCAACCCACGGACTCAATTAGTTTTGTTCGAACAATAAATGCATTCATTTCCCCAGTGAAAAAGAAAAATAACCTATGAAAAACCCAACCGGTTCAGCTAAAAAGAAAATCCCTCTCTATCTAGTTATGTAGACGTCAGAATGCTTTTTGTTATGCCAGAAATTACGCCAGTAGAAATTTGCAACCAAGTTTTAAGCTTAAGCAGTGGGCTCCTCCTCCTTCATAGCGACATCGCCCTCGGCATCCTTAGCCTCAGCAGCAGGAGCCTCGGCAGGGCCAGAGACATCAGTCTGCATCTCCACGGGGGCAGGAATCTCAGTCTCCTCGGCCTTAACCTCCTCCGTCTCGCCCTCCTTCTTGGCCTCGGCCTCACCCTCCTTGGGAGGATCCCTCTTGATACCCATGTTGATCAAGGGAGTGGTGTCGTTGTAAATACGGAGCAACATCGCACTGCGATCCTCCTTGGGCAACATGAGGTTGAGAGACTGGAAGCTCTTCCACAGAGGGAGAGCCATGTGCTCGTTGAACTCCGGGTCGGTGCCATCAGGCTCGACGCGGAGAACGCAGCATCCGAGAGCCAAGTCGCGGACGCGCTCGCCAATCTCGTTGAGCTTCGTCCACTCGCCGTTGGCGATCTTGGGGAACATCTCGATGAGTAGACTCTTGAGTGTCTCCTTGTTCTTGAGCACGACGACGCGCTCGGAACCGACGTAGCCGTGGAGAATAGGCATACCCTCGGACTGGATGCGCCAGCGGCAGACCTCAGCGGAAGGAGCGTCCTGCTTGACGTACATCTTGACACCGCCGTGGATGAACTTGACACCGCGGCCCTCGTTCATGACAAGGATATCGCGCACGAGAGCGCTGGTGTAGTAGATGGCCTTGGCGGGCTCGCCGGTGGCGTTGCGGATCATGTAGCGGTCCGAGGGGAAGCGGGCAGAGATCTTGTAGAAGTCGGCAATGTTCTTGATGACCTCGTGGTCGGCGGGGAGGTACTTGAAGGGCTCCTCATAAGGGCCCTGCTGCTTCTGCTTGCGCTCTGGCTGGGCCTCACCCTCCTTGGCAGCCTCCTTGGGAGTCTCGGCAGGAGTCTCGGCGGGGGTCTCGGTGGCCTCCTCCTTGACAGCGGGCTCCTCGGTAGTGGGAGTCTCCTCAACGGGGGCGATCTCCTCAGCCTTGACCTCCTCGACGGGGGCAGCAGGGGCCTCCTCGATCACAACATCCTCGGTCTTGGTAGCCTCATCAGCCTCAGTCTTCTGCTTCTTAGCATCCTCGGTGCTCTCGGAAGCCTCCTCCAAGGGGCGCTTAGGAGCCTGCTTCTTCTCCTTCGGCCTGATCTCCTCGGGCTTGGCCTTGAACTCGGCCTTCTTCTGAAGCACGGTAATGAAGAAACCACCGGTATCCTGCTGGTGGGCGTAGACGCGCATGCACCTCTCGAGAGGGAGATCGGCGCAAATGCTGTCCGCAGGACGGGGGAACATGGACTCGACAAGGCGGGCGGGGGCGACACCGTCCGCAGTCGACTTGGTGTGCTCCTCAATCTCTTGCCAGCTGTTCCAGACCTTGCCGGTCTTGTCCATAATCTGCCACTTGCGCATACCAGGCTTGCGCTGGAGCAGAGGGAGCTGGTCGGCGCAGTCGACAATCTCGATCTTGTCAGGACCACCGCAACGCTCGATGGCGGCGGCGACAACGGACTCGTTCTCGACGGGGTTCATGGAGCAGGTGGAGTAGACCATACGGCCGCCGGGCTTGAGCATCTGGAGAGCGCGCACGAGGATGCGGACCTGAGTAAGATGGAGGCCCAGGGCGGCAGCAGGAGCCCAGTCCTTCCAGAGGTTGACGTTCTTCCGAAGGGTACCGTCGCCGGAGCAGGGAACATCGGCCAAGATACGGTCGAACTTGAGGTAGTTGGGCTTGGTAGGGTCCTCGGGGTTGGGTATCCTGAGGGAAGGGTACATGGTGGCGTCGTGGTTGGTGACGATCATGTTGGGGGAAGAGAGACGCTTGAGCTGATGGATCAACATGTGGGATCTCTTGTAGTCGGCATCGTTGGCAATGAGCATACCGGTAGCTCTGCCGTCGTCGCTAGGGTCGGCCTCGAGGCGGGCGGCGTCCTCATCGGCGCTGGCGATCTCGTCGACGGAACCGCCGAACTGCTTGATGACGTGACGGATTCTGGCCTCCTCGCCACGGTGGATCATCTCAAGGAGCTGAGCGGCCTTGCTGCCGGGGGCGGCGCACATGTCGAGGACGGTCATGCCGGGGCGGAGATCCATGAGAAGGGGAGGAATCATGGAAACAACCTCCTGACGGGAGATATTGCCGACGCTGGTCTCGGAAACCAGGAACTTCTGGAAGGCCGAGAAGGGAGGGAACTTGCGGATCACGTTCTTGGGGGTGGTCATCCACCAGGCGAGACCGTCGGGGTACCAGGGCACAGGCTGAGGGGGCTCGACGATGGCGCCATCGTAGGTGATTCTCGTGATCTCGGGAATGTAGCGGGTCTGGAGGAGGTTCTTGACGGCGATAGCGTGTCTGTGAAGAGATGGTCAGCAATTGTATGGAGGTTATGGAAACATGAAAAGATGGCCAAAGTGCCAGGACCAGGTGACTGTACCCCTTGGAACCGCAGAATCTGAAGCTGTTGGGGAGCTCCCTCTTCAGGGCAGCCCAGAACTGCTCACGCTCCTCCTCGGGAAGCTGGAGAAGATCGTTGTAGTAGCGTTCGAGCTTGTCGTTCTGCTTGACGACCTCGGGGTATCTGGTGTAGGGCTGGTGGCCACCGCGGTTGTCATTGTTGTCGCGGCTACGCTTGCCGCCACGGCCACCACCACGGCCCTTCTATATCACACACACACATCGGTCAGCATACGTCAGTCAGTCATGGATGGGAAGGTGAGGATTGCATCACAACAGCAAAGGGACTGGATGGAGCATGGCAAGGTCAAAGAGGAAGGTCAAAGAGGAAGGACCAAGAGGAAGAAAAAAAGGAAAACAAAGAATATACACGGAATGGTACGTACTCTGAAATTACCACCGCGACCCATGTTTGAGAGATTCGCAATTGAGGATAGAAAGCTCTGTCCAGTTGCGATACTCAGGTTCGGTAACCGGAGTCGTGTTGGAGGAAGAAAAAAAGTGACATGCGGCAACGCCAGTCTCTTCTGTCGCGTGCAAGTCGAGACTCCAACAAAAAGCCAAAGCCGCAAACTTATTATGTGGGGGCGGGGGAACTAAGCAATGCGCTAACTGATGGATGTAAGAAATTGTGTGTTTTCATTGGCCAATATGTTACATGAAGCTATTGTAGGGGGCCCACTATGTATACAAGCTAGCCGGGGAGGGCTAGCGTGAACTGCCTCCTTGGTTACCGTTCCTTATCAGTGACTGTTGATAAGGAGTTAAGGGTCCAACCACCAAACAGTGAACGTACTATGTAACTGCCGGTGGGTTGCATCAACAGAGGTGCCGTCTGGTAGTTGTGGTCACTCTACTTAGGATTATGTGCTGGATAAGTGAGTAGAGTTAAGATTGGGTATCTCATGTTAATGCGAGTTGTGGTTGAAGACAGGAAAGCTGTGAGTGTTCAACCATCCAACAAGCCAACGGTCCAGTGAACAATCCTCTCCACGCCGTGACCGTTGATGGCACTGACGGGAATGGCTTCCACATTCTCGATCCAAGCACCTTCAACACCACTGGGATGCGGCTCATCCCCGCGTGTGACAGCCGCACAGTAATCTCTGAGCTCCATAAAGTTGGCCTGAGTATCCTTTATGTCTCCCTTGGTGGCTACCACAAACCACGGCTTCCCTGCGATGGACAACCCTGCAGGCTCAGCAGCAGATGGCGGATAGTCGGCCATGCCGTTCGCAGCAGGCCATCCACCTGACATGCCGCTCGCATCATCAATACCGGCCTCGGGACTCCAGTCAATCCTCGCTGCGCGCTCCCGGTCGGCCTCTTCATCCTCGCGCATTTGCGCGTACAAACCCACCTCGTTCCACAGCGCCTTCAACGCTTTCACAGCATTGCCGGCACCCAGGTCGATGACGAAGGCGAGCACACCCGCACGCTCGACGTGACGCAAAAAGGCAATACCGAGACCCTTGTCGAGATGGGCACCCTCGATCAAACCCGGGATATCAGCGACAGTGAACCTCGTCCGTTGCTCGACTTCGTCCGGCGCACCAGTGAGAGCAAAGGGATCATCGACAGGAGCATCGCTGATTCGCTTGAAGCTCTTTACCGAGGGACGGCCTTTGTTGTTATCGAGCACGACGGTGCCGATATTGGGTTGTAGCGTGGTGAATGCCCAGTGGCCAACGCGGGCTCGGCTATTGGTCAAGGCGCGAAGCAGGGTGCTTTTGCCGGCATTGGGCAGGCCAACCAGACCAACATCAGCAAGGAGCTTGAGCTCGAGCTCGATCTCTAGAGACATGGCCGGCTCTCCCTTTGTCGCAAACATGGGTCTTGGTCTGTCCTTGTTGGCGAAATGGGGATTGCCCAGTCCCCCGAGACCACCTGCGGCGAGCAGGACGGGCCGTGGTGTAGGACGGTTCAGGTCCAGATATATGGGTGCTGCCGGTTGTTGGAACAGTCGGTCGCGACGGGGCAGTCGTGGCAGTTCGGCGCCGACTCTTCTGGCATCCGACGAGGAGATGCCGGGGTATAGCAGCCATCGGTCCATGTCTGGGTTGATGGGCGGTTCCTCCTCTACTTTTGTCCCTTCTATCCCATCCTCTCCCTCTTCATCCTCCTTTGGCGCCTCGACAGCAGGGGCGTTTCTAAAATCCTTTTTCCTCTTACGCTTGTACTTGGCTCTGTCGATGAGTTGCCTCTCGCCTTCGGGTCGTCGCGGCTGATCTCGGTAACGACTGTTCCGACCGGTACGGTTATGATGACGTCCTCTCCGCGTTGTCCACCCTGAGCACTGCCCTGGCCATGCTTTCCTCGACCAGCGCGAATATGCCTCCTTCGTGCGAGCTTATGTAGCGAAGTCTCGCCGTGGACAGCTTGGATGTAGACATTGCCGCCATGGCCTCCATCACCTCCGTTCGCCGGGCCTTCGGGAATGAACAGCTCTCTGAGGAAGGATATACAGCCGTTGCCGCCGGGGCCAGCGTAGACGTTCAGCTTGGCCTTGTCGGCAAAGTATGGGTTCGAGTAGTCATCGGGGGCAGGGTTGAGTCTCGATTTCGTCTCGCCGTCGTTCTCGGGGGTCAAAGTCGCGGTGGCGTCTGTGCTGCTGTAGCGAAGGTTTCGGGCGAGGGCGAGGCCGGCACGGGGCACGCTTCCGGCACTGGTACGAAACAACGATGGATATAAAAAGGGCATAAGCAGCCGGGAGCTGCTATAAGTACAACGAGACGCCATCTCGAGCAGGACAATGGCGCATAAACCTACATTGACCGCGGGCAGTCTTGGGTTTCAGTTGTTTGTTTGCCCCCCCGGCCGCCAACTTTTTGGGATCGTGAGCCCCCGTTAGCGCGCGCCGCGATAAGATAAGAAGTCATTAACATTTCCAGGAACCCACTGCGGGGAGTGCATGGCAAGTGGACTGGACTAAAAGTCTTGGTGAACCGGGGGCCCCTTTTGCAGTTGATCGATCGACGGGACGCTTGGGCGGCTGGCTCCCGGAACCAAAATGGGCGGACACCAATTCGAATCCCTTTAGCTGTGAAATTGTATCAGTTTTTGCCAAGACTGTTTCTGGCCAGTCGGCTGGCCTGTTGTTTATCCACTTCTACTTCTTGGCCTCAAAGCTACCGAGACTTTGCTAAGTTTGCAGCACTTTTGACCTTACAACAAATGCGGAGTAAGTACTGGAAGTAGAGGGTGGCCTTGGCATAAAATGATACAATTTCACAGCTAAAGACATGGCGGGGAAAGCTGAGTGGGAGTCCGGATGATCGATTTGGAGGTTTCCCCACTATTTCACAACCTGAAGCACTCCCACTCCTCCTCGTCTCCCACCCAACAATCGACTTCAATTATTTCTCTTCACACTCCGATCACCTTTTGTCTCTCTGCTGCCATGTTACCATTTTCAGTCTCGGCCACCACTGTACGGCTCTGGCTCTGTCGCAAGTGCGCCGCGCCAACACTCTGCCTTCAAACTTGAAACGGTGATAATCCGATTAATTCTTTCCGACCTCCTTCTCAATTGGAAGACAAGGCTCTCGAAAAGGCCATGTTGCCCATGTCGGCGGGCTGACATGCAGCTGCTGCTTACCATAGCTCACTGTGTCTGTCTAATACGAAATAAGGAAAAACTACGGTAATAACCTGACATTCGGCGGCGGCACTGACAACTCACACTCACGGCATAGCATAGCATCAAAGTTAATGCAGCACAAGCACCGCACACAAGTGAGACGTCCAATGTTGCTTCTGTCCGTCTGTTTCCTTCCCGCCATGTCCACACAGTCCCAGTCCCGTCCTACCTGACCCCAATTCCCCAGCCTCCCCCAATCTTTCAGAGAAGGGAGAATGGGGTGAATGGCGGCAGCAGGATGGATGGATGGATGACAAGCCGATTCTCGTTGGTCCATGTCGTTCAGCTACATTGGTACCTCAGGTATCCAAGGTATCCAAAATCCAAGCTGGAACCGAACCTCATCTCATGCCCGTGGTTGCGCATGAAGAAGGGCGAAAGGGGGCAATGTCAACACTCACAGTCGGCCGGATCATGAGGGACTTTGCATGCCTACTCAGGTTAGAGGAAACGCCAATCACATATTTTCTCTGACACTTGTTGCATGCTTTCTCACGGCTTTCGAGTCTCGGGTAGGACATTGTGTCTCGGCCTCTTTTCCGCTGCCTGCTGCCCGGTGCCCGTTGCCCGTCTCATGTGTTATTGTTGTTGTTGATGTTGACATTTTGTTTCTATTTGACAGGGCAACCAGAATTATTGCACTCTTGCCCCCCCCTCTTCTCACTCTTCTAGATCGTCTCAGGACAGTATCACTGCCTATCATATTCTTGTCAGATATTGCACTTATCTGAATACTACACTTCTTCTTTTTGCCTCCATTCTTCCCTTCTCCTGTCGGCAGCTGTTGTTTTGCTCCGCGTCCTCCGTCTGTTGCTGCCCGTCTGCCCATCGCCAGTTGCCCATCAAGCCGGTAGCCAACCGGTCGTGTTGGTCGTCACTCCACTGTCAGTATCCCGAGTTTCAAGACGTTGATAGCCTTTGCCATCGCCGCCAATCTGGGGACATCTGGGGGATCGTCTGCTGCAAGAGTGCGCTGTCTTGCTGCTGCAGAGCGAATCATCCGCCACCACCTAGCCAGAAAAGGGTCGCAGTCTACTGTGTAAGAGGAGCGCAAACGACCTCGCCTCCAGTCGGGAAAACTGGGTCCCGGAACGGCACCGCCGTCTCGGACTGGTCGACGAGGCATTGGGCCGCTGCAAGCTGCAGACCACTGCTGCCAAAGGGGCCAAGCGGGCCCGCATTCGAGCCACGACAGAGATTCCAGAGAGCAGACCTGAGACTGGAGTGCATTGGGAGTGCATGGTGAGTGGCAGGTCCAGGTCATCTCTTGCTTGATCCGGCCGGACCGTTCTGCTGCTGCACGGAAGCTACACTACCTGAACCCGACACTCTCACTCCCACTCCTTCACTCTCACTCACTCACTCCACTCTTGACCACTTCCAACCAACCTCTCTGTCTTGCCTGGCCTGGCTCCTCTTTTCACCTCTCACCCCTCGCAACTCCTGCTTCTCCTCCTTCTTCTCCCATTCATCAGTCGTGTCTTCCCTCATCCTCGTTCGCCATCTCATCCTGCACACTGCGTGGTCGCGCTGCTGTGGTGTTTCCCCTCCGGTACCTTGTTGACTTACATACATACATACACACATACATACATACATACCTACATCTGCGGACCTGCCTGCTTGCTCACTTCTTCCCGCCTGTGCTGCTTGCCTGCTTCTGCTTCTCGTCGATTCCACTCAATCGACACCTCTTCGATTTTGATACATCAGGTCAGTGAATCTGCTGCCTTATCCCACGACCGAGACTCTTGTCTTGTACTCCCTCACACCAGCTTCATAACATCCGCATATTTCCCTTCTTCTTCCTCCTCCTCCTCCTCCTCCTTCTGCCCCTTGCTCCATCTACTCTTAGCTGCCTCGTCACCAAGCTTCTCTACTTCGCTGTTGGGCTGGTCCCGTCATGAGAAAGAGCGTGAACGTTGTAAACATAGCAACGCATACTCTCTTGATAGAAGCAGCAAGGTCTCTTACTTCACTCCTTACTATACCCAACTCGGAACATCACCACACCACTCATCACCTCACAACACGACACTAAACAATGTACTCGGTAGAAACCTTCCAACAGTCACAAAAGTCAATCGTCAGGATGGACCCCGATTGCGCTATCTGCCGTGCTCCGGCAACCGCTGCCTGTGACTGTGAGGCCAAGGGCCTCGAGATGGCCGTCAAGCAGGCCGAGGCCCGTATGATGCAGTCCATTTACAACGATATCCGGTAAGTTAACCCGACATTCATCTACTTGTCGCCAGAAATCATGCTAACTGCCTTGATAGATCATGGGTGCGAGCTCATGCTCAAGATTACATCCTCGATCACTTCCGCCAGTTGACTGAGCGACGAAAGACGGCACATGCCACATACCTGGACCGCATCACAACTCACGCCTGGCAATACTATCAGGCACCACCTCACCCCAATGAACTCGCCAACGCCCAAGCCCAGTTGAAGCGCGGCATCGACGAGGACTGGCAGGCTTCAGTACAACGATACCCCGAGGTGCTCGAGTACTTCTACAGCCTAGTCGAGCTGACGCTTCCGGATGATGGCGATGCATCTGTCAAGGACCCTCCTCTCAATGCCCTTAGCGGACCCAGGAGACTGAGCACAAGGACGGCACCCGGTGCTCCAGCAACCGTGGCCAGCGGCCGCAGCATGACCTACGACAGAGAGATCACCCCCTTGCCTGCCATGCGACGGACGCCTCCTCCCATTGAGCCAGTCCGTGGAAGTGACAGGCGGACACCAGCACCAAGGGAGCGCAGACACTCTTACCGGGCACCACACCCTGGACCGCCAACGTACTATCCTCAGCAACCATACTAAATGAGCCAACAACCTTGACGATTTAACAACACTCCACTCGCTTAAAACCGATTCTTCTCTTTGTCATTCCTCGCCTCATGCTCTACGAAAACCATACCCATACCCATGACCTCGACAAGGGGTCATACATCATCTACAGCATGAGGAATTTTACATACCATTCTTGCATATCACGGCCGCATTTGTTGCATATCACACTTTGGGAAAGCGGCGGCGGCATTTGTTCTCTGAAAATCAAGTACACGATTACACACACATTTTCTCTGGGACTCGGTCGGGACGGGAAGGGAATGGGACGGGACGAAACGGGATGAATGAACGGATTTTACGGATCGGAAGGTCAATGGGCGGTTGACTCGGTGTTCAGGGAAATCGTAATCGTGTTTTACTTGGATCTTGTTTATTTTATTTTTATTTTTATTTCTTCCTGGGAAGGCTGGGTTGCCTTGGCTTTCTAGTTATGATTGGGATGGTTATGGGATGGATTGATACCTCACGAACGAAAGAAACAATCAAAACGACGATCAAAAGTGAGCGGAATGTCATGATAGGATAGGAATATGATGACTAATATCACCTCATAGCCTGTTATACCTCAACTGGATATATGTCACGGGATGGCTTAGGAGGCGGGACTTTGAAAGAAGAGTATAGCGCTCAGGCAGGTTCACTCCTCAATCAAGGAATCATAGCAGATCTTAACACCATTTGCTTTCCAACTGTTGCTGTAGTACATATGATGTACGTACCAGAGGAAAGTCGGTTTCCAAGACCTCAATAGAGACGGACATCGCGCAGTTGCCTCTTGTGTTCTTGTTCTTCCCGACCACGAACTTGTCTCAGAGCCTCACGCAGTATGACGATGCTATTCTCGGTTGAGGTCACTCATGTGATGAAGTCGTGACACTTCACTTGAAGATCAAAACGGGTTGTACGCTGGCTACTGCACAAACCGCATGCTTGGCAACGGTCATGACGAGACCTTGAAATGATACAGATAACTTTAAGATTAATTAGTACCTTGTGTTCGATATCCGTCACTCACATTTCCAGGCACTTCTCACAACCACCGTGACAGAAGTGGTATAGAAACCGCTTTCACCAACCCTCTTCAACACTTGACAACCATTAACCAAAAGAAACAAAGTGGCACCCAGCTGAAGCTGAAGTGGGATTGCATTGTCAAAGAAATTGCCACGTCCAACGGAAAGGGCCAAAAAAAAAAAAAAAAAAAAGAGAAGGACCATCGATTAAGCCACCCAGCCACCTGATTCTTTTTCCTTGCACCCGTCTTTATTGCTTTGCTGCCGGTCCTTTGCTGCCGGCAGCTTTGAGTCTGTGTGATGCCTCAGCACCGATCTCGGCTACTCACACCACTTGCCAGCTGTACGGTAGCCCGACCCAAACTTTTAAAACAGCTTGATAGATGCCCGATGCCCGATGACGCTATATCCCGCTTTACGGTATTCGTCCGTCTGCTTGCCGTCTGCCAGACCCGGTCTCGCTTTCATTTGCCGGATTGTTGGGAAGAGGCTGGTCCCGGTGAATGGAAACGTGGGGGAGAAGAGATATGTATAGAATACCACGGAAGGTACCATTCTATGTACGTACTGTAACTTCCCCATGGGCACGTCTACATCTATCCTCCATACACTGGTGGTCTTGGAACAAACTCGGCGATCCAACAAATGCAGCAAATGCAGCAAATCCAGTACCGGGACGGAATATCCAAACACTGATCCCCGCCTGGCACAAGCTACCTACCTACCTACCTACTAAACAACCCGCTGATATTCAAAGAAACCCCCGGATTCGTTCCTCCTAGGTAAGAAAGTTTGTTTGTTGCTTATCGGATAGGTAAAAGGCACCTTACTCCCATAAGGTAGAGAGGTAGGTAGGTAGGTAGTCGCAGCTGGAAAAAAAAATCCGATATCGCTATGCTTTTGCTATCATCAACATTTACCTAACCAGAGTGGTATCCCCCGTGTCCGTGTCTAGTGAGTGCCGTGTAGAATGTACTTGGTGCATGCATATTATGTAATATCGTCACAGGGTAAAGTGGTAAGGGAAATATATCAGAACGAAAAAGATGAGACGTCAAGATAAGGATGCAGCCCCCCGTCAACTGTCCGGTGGATGTCTTCCGTGAGCGAATGAAAAACAAGGATTAAAGATCCAGTACCGTGACGCCGGGAATTGGCGTTATCCTACACGTGTAGATAACATGGGGGAGAACAGCATTGGATGTAGATATGAGACGGAGAACACGGGACGGATCTACACGCTGCGGTATGTACCTCTATGTATGTTTTGATGCCCATGCCCATGCCCATGCTCATTATCCATGGCGTTGGAAGTTTGCCCGATTCTCAGACAAGTTGGGCCGTTATCGGCATTCACGTATGTGTGTGTCTGAGACCGTCGGGTGCTTTGTCGTTTTCATCTCCCCCTAGAATTGGCTTGTCTCGACGTTGTTTGTTTGTTTGTTTGTTTGTTTATTTAGTAGGCATTCTTAATTATTTGCTCTTCGCTGGCAGACACTCGGATGAACATACTCTATCTCTGACACGAAAGACACCCGTAGATAGGTAGCTATCCCTTCCCCATTGACAGCTGTCACTGCGATGAGAATGGTGGAAGGATGATGGTTGTTGATCTCTTGAGGTTAACGAAACCTGGCAGGCAAGCAAGCAGTCAGTGAAGCAAACATCCAATGGCAGACACTTGACAAGCGGTATGGAAGTGGAAATGTGGAAGATGGGGTATCAAGACCCTTTGCTTTTCTCTTGATTCAGTACCTAACCTCTCTCAAGACTCCTTTTACTTGGCTTCATCAATCTTTTCCATCCTCACTCCTGCCGCTCTTTTGTTTCGGGGCCTACGATACCTCAGTTTCTGTACTTTGGTTTTCTTTCCATCTCGCTGTGTTCCAGTGATCTTAGACGCAAGAACAGCCACCAAAAATGTCACTCGATACCAAATATATCGGGAAGCAGAGCCGCGTGAGTCGAACCATTAAAGTGTTTTTTTGCGTGTGAAGTGAGGATGTGCCAAAGGAAACCATCCCAAATTTTGAATGCCCGAGAAATCCCCCTTTTCTTTACCCAGATAAGCATGCTAACAACATTTTGAGAGAAGAGATGAGGGTGATGATAACTAAAGATAACCAACTAAGGCAAAAAAAGGATAAATATCGGGGATATATATGTGAATGATAATGTGCCGGGATAGATGCGCACAACATCTGGCACGGCTACAACGTCGGTGTGGGCAACAGACGGTGGTGGTAAGGATGGAGAAGAGGGATGACAGGACCCAAATACCCGCTTACTGTGGCAACCTGAACCTCGTCGGAGTCCTGGTCTCCCTCAAATCATGCTTTCCCGGAATTTTTCGAGACATTTTGTCACGTCAATGGTCTGGCTTCTATGCGGAAGCCTCGACAGCCTCAGTCTTCTCCTCAAGAGTGGCGTCCTTCACGCCCTCAGTGACCTCCTCAACGGCCTTGGTCTCGCCGTCGGCCTTGGGGGTGGCAGAGCCGGAAGTCTCACCAGCCTCCTCAGCCTCGAGGCGCTCAATCTCCTTCTTGGCCTTCTCGATGTTCTGCGAGCGAGACTGTTAGCAAAGACTACATAAACAGGGACGAGCCAAAAATAACATACCTTGCGAGTCTGCTCAGGCTGGTCAGCCTTCCACTGGTCAAGCTTGGCCTTGATCTTCTCAACGGCAGCAGGGATATCGGCAGCAGCCATGGGGGGCTCGACACCGACGAAGCTGCAGTCCTCCATGACGGAGGGAGGGAGGCTGAAGGTCTTGCTGGAGGCGGCAGGGGCGGCACCAGTGGGCTTCTTGCTCTTCTTGCCCTTCTTGACGGCAGGAAGGTAGTCCTCCTCGCGCTCCTCCTTGCGGACGAGCTTCATGCCCTTGAGGCCAGAGTCGTCGACCTTGCGGAGAGCCTGGGCACCGAGGCCCTTGTCGGCAAGGAGAGGAGCCTTGACCTCGACCTCGTGGCTGGGGTCGAAGTACTTGAGGAGAGAGTTGGCGCGGCGGATCTCCTCCAGGTAGGCGGGGTCAGAAGCCTCGGCGAGCATCTTCTGGGCGCGCTCCATGCGGCGCTCCTTGGCGATGCGCTCACGCTCAGCCTGCTGTCTCTCGCGGTACTTCTCGCGCTGCTCGCGCTCCCACTTGGCGAACTCCTTCTTGGCACCGTAGTACTCATCCTTGAGCTTCTTGATGGCCTGGTACTTCTCAGACTGGAGCTGCTGGAGCTTGGTGCGCTCGTCACGAAGGCTGGAGAGGTTCTTGTAGGCCTCATCCTGCTCGGCCTTGATGGCGTCAAGCTCAGCCTGAAGCTTGTTGTACTTCTCGCTGAGGGCCTTAGCTTCAGGATCCTCCAAGCTGTCCTTGATCTCCTTGATCTTGGCCTTGAGGACGTCGATCTGCTTCTGGGCATCGTCGAAACCAGCAAAGCTCTTGCGCTGCTTGCGAAGGTTGGAGATCTCGGCGAGGGCCTTCTTCTCATCGACAAGCTTCATCATGCCGCCGTTAACCTCCTTCTCCAGGCGCTCAATCTCGCGGTCGAGTTCCTCGGTGGACTTGAAGTTAACCTTGCTGCGGGCAGTCTTCTGCTCGGCGATGCGACTACGGAGCTGCTCATCGAGACGCTTGATCTGGTCGAGCTTGGAGGTGCGGGCATTCTTGCCGCCGGCCTGCTGCTGACGGATCTCGTTGAGCTGGGAGATGAGCTCCTGGCGCTTCTTCTGGGTAGGGCTGGGCTGGTCCTTGTTCTTGCTAGGAGCGGCGAGCTCAACCTTGGCCTTGACCTCGTTCTGTAACAACAACAGCAATTGGTTAGCCGGGTGTTGTCACATGGCAATTGGAGGCCGCAGCTGTGAGTAGGAGGCGTCGTGGTGGGAATCCGTGGGCGGAAGGGTGCATCGTGACGGGACCTGCGATCCATCTGCTTGATGCGTGTTCCGACTCCACGGCGTCGGGTAGAAGCGGCCAGGGCAGGAGACTCACGTATTTCTTCAGGGCTTCCTGATACTCCTTCTCGGCCTGGGCGAGCTTCTCGTTGAAGGCATCCTGATCAGGCTTGACGGGCTTGATGACCGCAGGGGCGGCAGCGGGGGTTTGCGACTCGGCCATTGTGTGTGATGTGGTGGTTGCTGAAGGGAAAAGGAAGGAGGAAAGAAGAGACAGATCGACGAAAGGAAGGGAATGGTAAGATAAAGAAAGAAGGGGGACCGCTGAGCCAAGGGCAGGCGTGGAGCTAGGAACCACTGCACGTCCGACGACCGCTTTTCGGGTCCTGCAGGGTGTAGGGTAATCGCTGTTAGGATGTAGTTATAGGGAGTTGGTTGACTCTAAAAAGTAGAAAATGGGGTCCAGACTGCCTGGGGAGAACAATGGCTACCGGGCTAGCACGGCTGCTGTCACCTCAATGGATTTCGTCCGCAATTGAGAACGGCAAGAGGAACCTCTGAGACCTCAATTCAGTCGCCTGTTCCTCAAAATGCGGGCCCTGAACTTTCTCAAAATTTCCAAAATTTGTCCCGCTTCAGGCGTGTTCCAGATCCGCAGATCGTGGCCTTTCCCGACACCGTGTCACCGTCTTGGCCTGTGCGCTATGGTGCGTTGGTTGCTTGGAGGAGGATGATTGGTTGAATTGGTTCTCGAACGCCAATTCACTTGCCGAGCCATGTCCCTCAAGTCTCTTGGGTCCGTCACGGAAGAGTTGGCGAAGGAAGAAATGTTGTTTTCCGTGCTGAATGTACCTGACAAGAAAGTGAATGTTCCAACTTGCTGTGATGCACGTCCCAACTTTAAAATTGAAGTACCTACAGATTTCCTATTCTTCCTTATTGGACTGAACAGGGCAATCAATTCAACAGTCAGAAGCCGACCAACGGACGTCGAAGCACAGCACAGACCACCTGCGCGCTTGATGTCTGACAGGGGTGGAAAGGCAACCTTACTATGGACCCTCTTCTTATCGGCCGGCGTGGAAACCTGGAGTGGGCGTCCAGATCAATGCGGCCACGCCACTGGTCTTTGCAGACGCCCACCCTTCCCGCAATTTTTTGAGAGCCTTTGTCCTTCAGCCTCGTAACAAACAGGAAAGTCCTCCAAGCTATCAATCCACCACAAAGCCATCCACCATCGCGAACCGTCTCACCTGCGCAAACCCCCCACATCATCACCACTCCGCGACGACGAAAACCACGAGTTTGTTCGATTCCCACTACACACAGCCAAAATGGAGGACGACAGCAGCCCCACCAGCGCCTCCAAGGAAGTCTCCCGCCTGTGGAGAGCCTGGAGGACTGTTCACGAGATGGTTCAGGACAGGGTACGCCATCCTTGGTTATCGCGCTCATTCGACGCGCCATCCTCTGACATGCATGTGCCTCGACTATAGGGTTACGAGTTGGCCGAAGACGAAGTCAAGATCTCGCTCGAGCGTTTCAAGCTTGAATACACAAACGAGGATGGAACACCAAAGTGAGTTCCTGCGTCACCCATCACCACTACGACCACCACCACCACCACTTTACGCGTCCCATCCGATCCCAACCACCATCACATCACCTACAGTCACTAACATGACGACATCAAAATAGCCGCGGCAAGCTCCAATTCTCCGCCCGTCCCTCCGAAGCCATGATCAAAAAGTTCACCGCCCCTCCCACGCCCTCCAACCCCAACCCCGCTCCCGAATGCGGCACCATCTGGGTCGAGTTCTGCACCGAGAAGGGCTCCATTGGTGTTTCCGTCATGAAGAAGTTCGTCACCCACTGCTCCGACAACAAGTTCAAAGCCGGCATCTTCATCACCGCCGTCCCCCTGTCCGCCCAGGCCCGCAAGGTCATGTCCGTCACCTCGCAGTACACCCAGGTCGAATGCTTCCTCGAGGAGGATCTGCTCGTCAACATCACCCACCACGAGCTCGTGCCCAAGCACGTTTTGCTGTCCAAGGAGGAGAAGGCCGCGCTCCTCAAGAGGTACAGACTCAAGGAGACGCAGCTACCCAGAATCTTGAGCAAGGATCCGATTGCCCGGTATTTGGGACTCAAGAGGGGTCAGGTCGTCAAGATCATCCGTGTGTCGGAGACGGCGGGTCGCTATGCTTCTTACAGACTCTGCGTATAAGGGGCGAACGCATGGGTGCGTTTGAGGGGGTGGCAGCTTGGGTTGCGTTACGGCTTTGGACCGGTCGGTTGTTATGCTGCACCGCGAAGCTTGGCTCCCTTGTGTCTGGAAATATCATTCCCAGCCAACGCACGTTTCGCGGGCTGAGGAGGAGAGAAAGGCAAACTGGATAAGAACACCAAGAGAGGGCCAAACATTGCAGCTGGGACGGCCAAAAGCACAAACCCAACGGGGCAGAATTCGGGGTTGGTTGTGTAATACAAAAACTTCAAGGGCGTTTTTTAACCATTCTAGCATTGTGGGGATACAAAGGGAAATCAGTTTCTGTTCTTTCAAAAGAGAAGAAAGAAAGGCGTTACGGAGTGGATTTGTACCTAGCTTGAGATATTGACAAGAAAGAATATCTGAGCTACTATTTTACAAAATATCTTAGAGGCGCCAGGAATTTGCATGATCGACCTGCTGATGGATGGGTGGCTCTCCAGAGATACCGACAAGAGAATATTCGAGCTGTGATCATCAGCCTCAAGAAAGAGAAGAGAGAAATAGAGAGAGAGAGAGAGATCGAGAAGAGAGAGAGAGATCGAGAAGAGAGAGAGAGAGTGGAAGAGAGAGAGAGAGTGGAAGAGAGAGAGAGAGAGGAAGAGAGAGAGAGAGGAGAATGAGACAGATAACCGAGCAACCTGGCTTCTATTTTGCTAACGGGTACATGCAGCACGGAGCAAGATACGTCAGGGTGCTCATTTGAGCTTAGAAGTACCTTTTGGCTCGATCTTCGGCATCCAGGTGTTGACTCCGACTGAGAGTGCTTGTAACTCTGGATGGGCAACACCGGAACGCATACAGCCCGACGCCTAATGTTTGAAATGGCCCTTATGTCACAACCAACATTATAGCTAAGGAAAACCTGCATCAATGCCCTTCAAAATCAAGCATAGGGTTGGGTGTTACTGAGCTTGTGATGATATTGGCTGGGAGTTAATGGCTAATAACACCATGTATAAACAAGAACCGTATCAGCCTCGGCCTTTTCAATGAGGTCAAGACCCCCGTCCATCATACCATGCTGCAAATTGGTCGTAGGTGACAAGTTGACTAATCGTTCATCCATTCATAAACGTCCAGCCCTTACACACCCATTATATTCACAACGGCGCTAAGGCCAAACCTCAACCTTCTCCCACTCCCCATCCACCTCCCGCCCGCCTCCCTCGCCTGATAACTCTTCCCCCTCCACAAATACAACCACCGCCTGGGCCTCCTCGCATCAGAAAGATCAACCTGATCAACCTCAGTCGGCACAATCACCACCACCCGAAAGTTCCTTCTCGCCACCTCATCCTGCAAATCCTCCACCTCCTGCCCCAGCTCCTCTCCCTTCCCAGGCGGAAACGCCACCGGCTGTCCCGGCGGGGGCCCCTTAAACGTTCCCCTCATCACCGGACTCAAATTGCCAAAATGCGCCGTAACCTCCTTACTCCAGCTCCACCCCTCTTCATCCTCTTTCTGTGCGCCGGGAACCCTCCTCATCCGCTGCCTCAAAACCTCCCTCACCTTCGCCGCCCCTTCCCCGTCGGCATCAGGACCCAATAACCACGCCGTTCCGCGGACTCGCCACTGCGTCATCACTTTCTTTTCTTGTCCATCTTCCCCCTTGGCAGATTCGATCCAAAACACAGCCTCAACCGGCCCTCCACCACCCGTCATACCCCCGCCTTCCTCGATCCTTTGTCCAGAAGCGGTATCTACGATCTCAGCTGCTTTCTCCATTCGGGCGTCCGTGGTGAATGTGATGAGGTCACTATCGAATACCGAGGGGTTGAGTTCGGCAGGGTTTTTGTCGTTGGTTGGGAGCTGGGCCCAGAGACCGCGGTAGATGCATGTTCGAGCGCGGGGGAGGACGGGGACGGTGGAGGAGAAGGGGGTGGGGGTGCTGGTTGAGGCGAATGTGGGTGGTAAGGGGTGCAGGGTGGAGAGGGTGAAGGAGCGCGAGGGAGGGGGGAGGGAGTGTAGGTGTGAGAGGAAGAGGGTGAGCCAGGGGGGTGGAGTGGTGGGGGAGGGTTGGCGGTTGTGATGGTTTTGGCCGGTTGCGGTGGTGGAGGTGGACATTTTAGGTGTTGACAGTCGTCTTGAGTTGGTTGTTGAGGCGGTTGAAGTTGATGAGGTAGCTGTGAGGAAGCGGTTTGTGGGTGGCTTATTGAAGCGAGGTGGTGATGCTTTCGAGATTCTTTGGGCGAGACTGGTGCTCGTTGCGAGGAGACCGGGCTTGCTCGACAGAGAACGCGAGGTAAGAGGCGTGAATCTCGGAGTGTTTGATCGTGATATTCGACAGCTTGTGATGTTGAGCTTCAAATTGTTCAAAGGCAGTCTAGCCATTCATCGAAGATGTCCGTGATCAAGAAACAGGTGTCGAGATGCTCGGTGGAAGTCTGCACTAGGTAGTGCGGTCGTGATTTATGACGGCTATGCTTCCAGTGAGGTAATGCTGGCTAATTGGAATGGCTGAACAGAAAGGTAATCACGATGTTGATTTGAAGAATTTTCAGAGAAGTTGTTGAAGGAAGGAACAATTTTGATGTAGGACAAACAAAAATGGCAGCCGCCTACGATGATGACATTGAGGTTGACCCCAATCCCGCCAGCGGCTGCATTACAGTGTCCTACCCCACGCTGCGATGACGGAGACGATCGGTCTACCCCGCTGTTCTTACCCCATACATCAACAACTTGACCATCAAAGTGTTTGCTCCTTCCAACTGAACAATCCGATGATTCTTTGAAAGACGGGAATTCAATGTTCTGATGATCATCTGGGTTCACTCACAAGGTACACAGCACTTTACTCCCAACTCCCAAACGACCATGTCAACACCTGTTAAAGAACCACCCCGTCGCTGGTTGTCGCCCGCACTCGCATGTGCCTGGCTGGTATAAGTGCGCGTTGATGATGAATCGAATGAGCTGAGCCTCCATTGTATTCAATAATCTCCTGGCATTTGTTGGTTTTTGAGATACTTACGGTCTTATGTTAGGAGCAGAAGAGGAAGGACAATGACGATCTTTTTGGCCGACCTTATATTTGAACCTGTGACGGCAGCCCAAAAACCATTACTACATTGTAAGGTTCGAGTTCCTAACAAAAGGATACAAGTAAGCGGAGCTGAAAGATTCGCTACTCAAATGGTCTTATATAGTTACCACAACAACCGCATCGGGCGTTTAACCAAAGCACCACGATGTTTCCGGATGTCGTGGAAGAACCAATCATAGATTAGAATCTCTAACAGTTTTAATAGCCTTACAAGAAATGCTTTCTATTCTTACTAAAATGGGCCGTCACAGAACACATATTCTGTACAGGTTTAGAGAAAACGAAGTCGCTGCGCCAAAATGAAGGTGGTGATGGGAGTAATTGTAGAATGGAGCGTGAATGCGCCGGTAAGGGGACTAAGTACAGTACGACAGACTTGAGTCTTATGAGGTGTTAACCAAGCAGTGAAGGAAAATAGTCTGGTATTTTGTTCGTTCAGAGGTTACAAGTTGCAAAGTGGGATTGTGATTTACAGCGACAGTGAGAAAGGTACTACATATATCTGCTATATATCTGCCATCTACGGCTAAGATATCTAGTGAATATGTTTAACTCTGTTTTTCAAGCCGTTTCCTAGCGTTGTTTTTCTCTCTTCCTTAATCCCCTTACCTCTTTTTTTCGAGGTTCGCCTGGGCATCATAGGTCCTGCCGTATAGAGAACCTGCGTGAACGGCGACCATGACTAACACCCTTGCGATTTCCTCATGGCCCATTTGTTTTGGTTAATAAGATGCGATAGAGACTGGTCGTCGATGTTGTTCTTCACGGATTTTGCAACACTGAAGGAACATTTGAGAGAAATCAAGTTTTGAAAGCTGCTGAGCAATTGTGAGCCAAGGCTGATGGGTGTTGTTGGATATGGGTCATTGCAATGGCGGCCTTTCGCGGGTATGCGATTCGATCTACCGCGGATGTTGCTCACTAGTTTGTCCTCGGTCCGTCGAGGAGTCGATAGTTTGTGTAGAAAACTTGTGCAGTCCGTTCATTCTTACATATAACAACCGGAAGGTCATTCCTATAGTCGTCCCCAAATGAGTGAACTTTAGACTTCGACCTACAGAAGTACTTACACAGCTGTTAGTCGTCAAAAAGTGCAATGACTACATACACGAACCTGTCACGACAAGGACAACACACCTAATTTCATACCTCGTAGACCAAGACTGCTTTTGTCTCAGTTGCTTTTCATCTTCTGTCAACACAGGCGTCGCAAGCCACTTATTATGCATCATGAAATTCACCCTATGTCCCCCTGTCCCCTCCCCTTCCGCCACTTCCCGTAACCACCCACCCGTCACCAACAACCACCAGACACGAGCGCATGTGATTGTGATACCTATGTACAAAACAGCCATCCCGGGCGCGCCACCACTTTGACCCCCTTCTATATGTACACAGTAATTCTATAGCCAGACCGACAGGGCATTTTAACTCGTCGGCGTACGTCGTGTACGTACTAGTAGTGTGCATACGTATGAGATGTGCGTGTGAATGTCTGGGAGTGTGACACTTATTATGAAAGAAATGTCCTTAAACCTTACCAAATGCTGCAAAATGCTGCTGCGAGCGGCAAAAGATGTTACGCTGCAACTAACTTGCAATTTGGCGTCAAGTGTCTGGTACGGATCTAGGGCCTCAAGCTTCTGTCCCGGGGAGACGGTAAAGGTGCATGTTGATTTACTTGTACTTAGCTGCTGCTGCTGCTGCTGCTGCTGCTGCATTCGTTGGTTTGGTTCCGAGACGGCATCCGGGACGGAAATACTCGCCCAAGGGAGAAGGTAGTTGGGTAGCGAGATTTCGGGATTTTTTTTTGTGTGTGACAAAGAGGTAGGTGGTAATGGTGAAGGGAGTGACGGTGACTTGGGGATAGGAGTGCATGCGAGTCTTGCTTTGTTTCTAATTCGTGGGTAAATAGAAGGAAAATATTGTGTAAAGGTTCAGGGAACATATGAAGGTTCCGCTGACTACATTGCCAAGGTTGATCCGGGATGAGTGAAGAAAATCGCCTGAAATTGGATCGGCAGGATGATGTATACCAACCAAGTTGACGGGATAGTTGTCGACGACCGACAAGATGCCTCGGATTATTGAATAGGGGACTTCCGATCCAAAAACAAACGCGATCCCATAGCTCTCGTCAAAGTGGACAAGCTGGCCGGATCTGCGCTGCAATGGCACATTTGAAAACCCCATTCATCTTGAAGCTTATTGCTGCTTTGAGCACGGTTCGTTATGCTCCGCCCGTTCTTCCGGATTGACAAACTCCATCGTACAGTATAGCATATTCGATCATCCACGGATCTGGAAGCAACGGGGGTTCGAGTCGGCTCCCGGGGGTGCCAAACTGTTGGGACTGTCCTTTTCGCACGAGACTCGGGAATAAAGGGGGAAAAGAAGCAAGCATCATTTCCTTTGCAGTGGATAAGAAAACCCAGAAAAAAGAGGAACTCCTCTTCACGGAATTTTTACGAGGGGAGCTGAGGGGAGAGATGATGCTAGAATTAACAAGGATGTGTCTTTGGTACCCCATCAGACATCAGTCATCAGTCATCGGTAGCAGATCTTCGGGCCCAAGAAGAGGCCCAATATCCATAAACAACCAAAAATAAACGGAAGAACCTCCGGCCTGATGTGGATTTTTTGTTGTTCCCAACGACGCCTCCATGTCTCACAAAGTTCGTGACCCTGACAAAAACGGACTTAATAAATGGGGCAGTTCCCTAAACCATTCCACAAAGAGGGCAAGTGCTGGAAAAGAATGGTTCGAGTTTTGGGTGGTGAATGATAAGGAAGCTCGCAAGGTCATCATGAAAATCACACCTACCTTGAACCCTAGCATCGCATCCGCGGCGTCCCTGAAGAGGCCAGAAGAAGAGAAGGGAGTGTGATAAGGTGTCCTTTACCCTCGCTCGCCGGTCCCTTTGCTTCCCCGTCGGGATATTTCGTGATTTAAGAGCGCCAGCAGACAGCGAAAGTGACGAGCACTGGGCAGTGGGGGTCCCCGCGTGGGGTTCGCCAAAGTCTCGGGATGGCGTGTCGAGATTTTGTATCTCTTGTTGTCCAATGGCAAAAGAGGCTGGGGGTGGCCCACGACCTCCAGAACAGGGTCCTGAAAATCATTGATGGGGCATCATGAAAGTGTGCTGCGTGGGTGCGTGGGTGGGAATTTGTGGACCGTGTCACCAAAATCCAGGCTCCGTACGGTGTTTTCCTAGGCGGAAAGGCGTCTACTAAACGAAAGGAAGCGAGCTTGTGCGATGATACTAGGAGCAGAAAGAGGCGTGGGAGGCAGACGGGAGAGAGACAGATGAGAGATACGAGTTGGGTTGATTACGGCGTGGTTTCACCACCTCAACCTTGTCAATCTTCCTGGGCAACGGTTTTGAGAAAGCTGAAGTGTTCGAATGGTGTAACCGAAACCCGGGGTGTCGCATTGCGTCAAGGGAAGGAAAAGCATTCCCCCCGTTCAAGAACAGTTGCATTGACGGAGCGGCGTCGAAAGTGTTTTGCATTCCGCCTTCAGTTTCTCACAGGCGGTGAAAGAAAAGAAAGAAGGAGCATTTGGTTGAAGGTTAAAATGGGCGGAGCATAGGGTGGAGACGCATAGGCAGCTAAAGCAGCGGATCGTAAAGTGGTTCCGGCGTTAGCTCTCGGTACTTTACCTGAAGTACTTGGGCATACTTCCGGGCCAGACCCATCAAAAATCTCGACTCCCGAGGCACAAGACCGAGTGAAAACCGACAAAGCCCACGAGCTTCATCGGCTTTTTATTCAAAGGTGGCATGAAATGAGGGGCACAATGGACACACACTAAGACTTGGCCGAGGGTCATAGGTATCCCCGTCAATATTTCATGCCTTCCTCGTTCACACGTGGGAATTTTGAGTTTTTGTGGCATCCATCCGATCCCCTCTTCCTGTCATGTCATGGCATCGGTCGGCCTTGTGTGTTTCAAAATCCGGACCATTGAACAGAGTTTAAAATTGAACCCGTTCCACTTCTCTTGACACCTGAACGAAGCTTGATAGGGTGACGACGCGAGTGGGTTCAGGATCCTTAAGTGCGACCGTGCGTTATTAAACAGTACGGAGGCCAGTTTCTTGGCTACTGACAGTCTCGAACAGTGGCCGATGTTTTTTTTTTTTTGTCTTTTCTTTTTGACTCTTTTTGCGAGACCCATCCATCCCACATGTGCTCCCGCATTGAGAGCACTGCAGTGACTTTTGTTGTTTAAAAGTTTCTGCAATTCGGACAGTGTCCAATTGGCAATCTACCGCATACCTACATACTACATGTACCACTTAAAAGATCAACCTCTCAGATGATGATTTGCAGTGTTGCTTTCTGGACACGAGGCAAAATGGAGTCCTTCATCGGCAAGCTGCACGAGACATGATGGCATCAACGGCACTTGTTCACGATGGACACCTCATGGAGCAAGCCATTGCAAGCCGGTGCAAGCCAAGAGGAGACGGTGATGCGGATGTTATGGTCCTCCCGCCTCCCGCCCGGCGCCAAGACTGCTAGACAATGGCTAGACTGGGGCCTGGATCGTGGAAATTGCAATGTCAGTGACGGCCCCCCTCCTGCTTGGCTGAAAGTGGCTCGTGCTTTTCTTATCTTTGTTTCTCTCAAGCTCTCCCAATTTCAGAACGAATACCGTTGCGCTATCACCATCACGGCTTAGAACCTAGCCGCCAACACCATCAAAAGCACCGGCGCCCATTGCCGCCTGAGATTCGCTAATTCGCTACGTTGCCGATTCGTTCGTTCGTTCCTTCACTTATCACCAACAGCCAGGTTGGAAAAGCAACGCGGGTTATCCAGGTCACCATGCACTCCCTCGTTATGGTAGGCGGCTAAGGCAAAATGGCGACACACGCGCACTCGGATTACCTTTGACCATCATACCAGGCTTACCTACCCCGAGTTCAGAGGCTGTCAAGTGTTGGTTGCCCTGACGTTGTTGCCCAGGTGGGCAAACCCGACGCCTCGCAATAGGAAGCTTGGTAGCAAACCGGGATGACGGGATTCGCTACCAAGCAGCAGGTAGAGCAAAATGTGGAAGCTGGCAAAGTTAACAGGGCAGACTGGGGTGCTGGATGGACGCGCCGCCGCAGGCTCATCCAGTCCCAGGTCATGCTGCCCGTCATATCAGCAAACCGACAACCTGCCACACACCTCACCTCCCCAGCCATTCGCTAACATCAAAAGGTAAAGGGTTGGAGGATGAGACGCAGGGTTGGTTGGGGAGAGAGGCACAGAAAGGAGGAATACCTAGATTTGCCCATCGCACTCAGCTCACCCACGAACCCACCAGCCCGCTATTCCTTGTCCACTTGGTCCCCCATCACTCCATCACTCCATCAGGTCACAATAAAAGTGACCCGCAGCCACCTCTCACCCGACTTTTTAGTATCAAAAGATACAAAGGTACAAGTCACATTTTGGCCCCATTGTCATTCTCAGCTGCCTTTGGGATTACCAGGCCCGCCAAAGATAGGCCGATCAACGTTGGTTTTCGGTTCTCGCTTCAACTTCTTTCCCAATGTCGTGCTGTGCTGGGGATCCAAGTCTCTTTTTTTTTCTTCTTTCTTTTCTGACAGGGCTTCCCAACAAGGGTTGGCCAAGCCCACCCACTTACTCTCCACGGGAGCCCTCTCTGGACATTAGCAGGCTCTGCCTCGCTTCGCCTCTGACAATTCTTGACGAGAGGTCGCCTATCTATCCTTTCCAACCCCAACCTTACCTTTTGACTTTCTCCTCTTTTCACACAAACCTCCATACCAACCAACATCCATCCGACTTGAGATAGCTTCTCAAACCCGTCAACGGGCAGTCCCGTTGCGTCAAACCAAACAAAGGCATTGTCTACCTCGGACCACCCCGCTCCTTTCTCGATCCGCGATAGTGTCTACATCCTCGTCATATCTCTATCCTCGGCGATCCAGGACCCTTGCTTTCGAAACCAAAGAACACAACCATAGCATGCTCACACAAGGACCGCCACCACCACTAAACAAAACCGAAAGCTTTATATCTACGCATTGCGACACTCAATTCATATTATCAGAACCGAATTATACACACAGCTGTACATCTGCCCTGACATCGTCTCGTCCGAAAAAAAAAAAAAGGGTTCACGCACAGATTCCTGTCATCCGAACTCAGACGTCATCGGACGAAGGAAAGAGCAGCAGTTTAAAAGTTTAAAACAACCACCGAGTCAGATCCAGGAACGTCGTTTCAGCACCACTTGTCAGCCCTATTCACGGACCATTTCGACTTGAACAAAACCCTCGCATTGGGGTATACCATCTTCTCCGCTCGTCCCTCTCCGGAGGATGACGGGCGGCATGTCCCGGGTGCCGCCATCACTATGACTCTTTACTCGGATCCTCCCCCATGGCGTGCCTTCAGCTCCGACAAGCCGACCTTGCTGGTGTGTTGGTGGATCACCATATTCTGTGTCGTCCTGATCCTGCTGCGCTTGTGTGGCCGGTTCGTCCGGACCGAGACGTTGTTCAGCGAGGACAAGACGGCCGCTCTGGCTTTGGTGCCGTTGTTACTGCGCATGGGTTGCGTCCACTTTATCTTGGTCCATGGGACGAATAATGCCGACTTATCGGGTGTGCGGCTTTCGGAGGAGCATATTAGAAGGAAGACAATTGCGAGTGGCTTGGTGCTGCTCAGCAGGGTGCTTTATGCCTTGACGTGAGTGCTGGCTGAGACATGGCGCTCATTGTTCCTTGTCCGAGACTTACTGACCGTTTGTAGGCTATGGATCCTCAAATACGCCATCCTGGAATTCTTTAAACGGCTCAATGTTAGCTGGGAGCGTTCCTATGAAATAACCCTCGTCTTCATTCGGGTTACCCTCGTCACCACCTTCCTCGCCGTCATCATCTCCGATGTCGTCGAATGCCGGCCCTTCCACATGTATTGGCAAGTCCTACCAGACCCTGGGCCCCAATGCCGCCAAGGCTACGCCCAGCTCATCACCATGGCCGTCTGCAATATTATTACCGACCTCCTCCTCGTCTTCTTCCCCATCCCCATGATCATCCGTTCCCAAATGAGCCTGACCCGCAAGATCCAGCTGGTCCTGCTCTTCTCCCTTTCCCTTGGCGTCGTCGGCGTGACCGTCTACCGCGTTCCGCACATCCTCCGCGCTCACGGCTCCCAACAGTCCCGTTCTTTATACGCCTCGGTCGAACTCTTGTTCGCCACTGCCGCCTCCAACGCCCTAGTTCTCGGCTCCTTCGTCCGCGACCGTGGCGTCAAAAAGCGCAAGTACAAATACGGTTCCATTGCCGCAGGCAGTCTTGAACGCTCCCCCGGCTCCGGCCCCGGCGGCTTGGGCGTCGCTCCCAACGTCCGTCGCTCAACCCTGCGCCACTGGGGTTCCGACGAGGACCTGGTCCGTGACGTCGGCTACGGCGTCAAGCCCGATTTGCGCGAACGACCAATCCCCTATTCGGACGGAAGCGGCGGAGGCGGTTATTACACCCCTGCCCCTATGGCCCAGATTCACCACCACGACAGTGACGCAGTTCACTCGTGGAATTTCCCGCCATCCTCTTCATCCCAGGCTCGCTCCACCGCCCGCAGCGACGACTACCTGATGTCCATGTCAGGCCAACTAAGCCAACCCGGCTCACCGTGCAACTCTTCCCACAACCACAGCGACCTCCCCGTTCTGGCCTCACCCCGCCGCGTCTCCTTCTTTGACTATGGCGGCCTTCTCTCCGACGAACCTACGCGTGGTCGACGAGAGTCATCGGTCTCTACAACCGTCGAGCCACCGCGTCCCAACACGGTTCCCGTGCCCGCCGTGCCCGCCAGTGCTAATGGGTTGCGCCGAGGATCGGCAGCGTTGCTGCAGGATTTAGGAGGCTTTTTATCTCCATTGACCTTGGCGGCTGTGCCGAAATCGGTTCGCAAGAGGAGTTCAAGTACGGGACGAGGGAGGGGAAGGCCGAAGAGTACGAGTGATTTGGAGAGTATACCGCAGATGCCAGGGGAGCAGTGGGGGCACGGAGAGGAATTGCCTACATATTCGTCTGAGGAGAGGAGGCATGGCCAAGGCCAGGGTCATGATCTGGAGTTGGTGGATGTCGGCGGTTTGTTGACGAATTTGAAAGAGCCGATTGAAGGGCCGCCGAAGAGGAGTATAACGCAATGACATATGCCTCAGGGGCATGATGTGGACGTGGAGACTCATGAAGCCAACGAATAGCAAACGAAGCACATGATCGCGATGAAGGGACACCTAAGGACACCAGGAACGGCACGGGTTGGATAGACGGATGGATTGCTTGGATTGCGGATGCTTCGTGCGTAGCCCAAGGGGCGCTCGCTCATAGGCATTCCGTACCTCAAAACACACACACAAGACGTACAAGCGGATACGAAAGAGGCTCCATGATGTCCACCAAAGAAGAGGAGGAATTATAACACGCATAGGTCGGATTGGATTGAACGGATGGGAGGAACAATTTGCTTTTGACACATATACCACACACTGACAGACAGCACTGAGCTTGCAACTATATACCCCGGCAGACATTTAAGAGTGTCTTGCCAACTTTTGTTTTTCCGCTCCAATTTTGTTTCCTTTGTTTTACAGAAGTAGATAGGACCCATGTAGAAGTGGCGATATCGAATAATGACATACCTATACTCAAAACAATCATCGACGCCCAAAAGTGAATAAAGGACATGTACTTAACATCCTCATTATAGCTAATTTCCATACATTTCTAATTGGGTACACTAAGTAAATCAGTTAGTAAGGTAGGTAACTAAGGTAGGTATGTCCTTTACGTAACGGTCCCGTCTTAAAGGGGGTCGGTCCTACTCAGTACGTGCCGAAGGTCATTTTTTCATTCAAATTCTACGAAACTGGTCCGGTGTACGTTTGAACAACCCCCCGGGCCCCCATCTGTGCTGAGAGATTACTGGGTAGAGGTAGAAATGATCAGGGTAATAGTTCCCAGTCAGGTTGGTTTTTCTCTTTTTTTGTTTGAGATATTGTTATTACTACCCTAATAGGTAACCTCCAGGCAATTTGAAAGCAGTCCCCACAGCGTTGAGGATTGCCTCAGAAAGTATATGCTACCACATACCATCACATAGGCGCTGGGGGAAAAAAAAAGACACGGGATCATGTCCGATCTCCTCTAGATAATGGAAGCCAGTGACCAGTAGACCAGTAGTGAGATCGGTGACGATTGGTGAATCACCTGGTGTTGTATTCTTTGTTTTTATCTTTTTGGTTCCTTCCTCGTTGTTTCTCGCTGCTTCCTATTATCTTTCTCGCTACTTCCACTCTCTTCTCTGCATCCTTCATTTGTTTCTTGCCGGTGATCGTACCTGCTGGCAGACAGATTGGTTGGTACAGTTTCCCTAGAAAAGCGCCGGGAACTATGGCAGATACCACTCCGTTCACTGCCCATGCAGGTGGTTGAGGATTACACGTTGGTTTTGGGTTATATAACTTTCTTGCTGTCTCACACTAGTCGGTTATTGCCCTCCGATGTAAATATCATTCAACATTGAGTGTCCAAGATTCAAGCCGTTAGGTATATTGCCCAAACATTGAGTGCTGTCCACAATTCGTGTCATAGATTGTTGTATCGTCACATATTGCTCGCTCGCTCGCTGGCTCCAAACTCCAAGCAAAGTACGCTCGCTCGCTCATAGCCTTTCAAAGAAACTCGCTCAAAACCTGCACCCTTGTCCTGGCCGTTTCCGATCCCTGTTCACCCTCGCTCATTGCTCGCATGATGTTGATCATTTGATCTGTTTTGAATCATCAAAAGTCAGCACCACCTTCAGGATAACATCCTCATCATCCTCATCAGAATCATCATCATAATGACCCCTTCAAAACCACTCCCCCACCAAAAAGAAAAAGAAAAAAAGAAAAAGAAAAAAGAAAAAGAAAAAAGAAAAAGTAAGGACAAAAAAAGAAAGGCAAAAACACTCACGAATATCCCCCCTAGCCCTAACAAACAACGGATCCTTCCCCACCGCCATCGCCTCCCCCTCCCCGCCTCCGCCTCCGTTTTCCTCCTTGGCCGCCTCCCGCAGCACATTCCCAATACACAGCGCCTCGAGAAATGCTCGGTGGTTAAAAACCCACCACACCCTCGCCTCCGTCTCAAACAAGCTGAACAGCACGAAGAACGCCGTTATCGCATCATGCGCCGCCTCCAGCGTTCCGCGCACATTAACCGGCACGTCCGCACTCTCGGAGGCGTGCACGAGCATTAGGTTGTGGAAGTAATTCGAGCTTAAGAAAAGCGTTTGCCGCACGATCCGCTTGTTCCGCTCAGCCATTTGCGTTAACATTGCTATATCCCAGCTGCGAAAGATATCGGGGAAGGAGCGGTAGACTGCCCTGAAGTCGGCGACGAGCTTGGATTTGTGCCGGATGGTGGTGCAGATGGGGACATCTAGACTGCGGGGACTGCAGATGGTTTCTTGCACGAGGTTGGCGAGCGTCCAGGAGCCGCGGAGGTACGCGATGTCTGTTGGGTCGTCGGAGCCGTCGATGGACATGGAGGAAGAGGAGGAGGTGGGGTCGAGGTTGGAGACGAGGTCTTCGACTTTGACGTCGGTGTGGGTGGCGGAGGGAGGTAAGGACAGGAGGACGGTTAGGAAGGTGTCTTGCAGGAGGACGGCTTGCCAGACTTTGCGGCGTTGTTGTTTGATGAAGAGGGGGGCTGCTGGGACGACTGGTTTTCGTTAGTGACTGAAAGGGGAGGGAAAGTGAAAGGGAAAGAGGAAAGGGAAGAAAGGTAGACATACCAATATTAGGATCCCGATGCAGCCCCATCGCATAAGCCTGCCTCATCAAAATGCCTCCAAACGCCCACCCATCGCTGGCATGATTATCGTTGATCAGAAAGTACGTCATCAGCACCATGGCCTGGATGCTCGTGATGCTCGCCATGCTCATATAACTGCCCACCCTCAACGCCTGGTTCGCAGCGCTCGCATAAAACTCGGCCGTCTGCTTTGTTTCCCCCGCGCTCAGGTTGCTTTCCACAAACTGCGTGCCCAAAGCCAGCATCACAAACACCAGCGCGATGAACGCCGAGTCGCACTTGTGTTTCTCCTCCAGCGACATGGTCCAGAAGTGCTCGTAGTCCGCGAAGAAGGTCTGCCGGTGGATCATGGGATACACGGGGTCGACGCATTCAAAGTATCGATGTAGCACCAGGTCGACTTGCATTTTGGCTGGGAGAACGTCGATGACTTCGGGAAGGCCGCCGTTGCAAGTCCAGTAATTGGCAAAGGGGTGTTCGGAGCCGATACCGAAGACGTTGGATGAGCCCGGGGCGGAAAAGGGGACATTGGAAAGGAGGCCGGTGGAGGTGGCTATGGAGCCGAGAGGTATTCGGCCGCTGCTGAAGCCGCGGTCGGCGGCGTTGGGGAGGACGGTGGGGAAAGTGCTGCTGGTGGTTGAAGAAGATGACGCCTGGTCGGTGGTCTTTTTCCGTGGTGGCTTGGTCATTCGCCGGCCGTTGGCGGCGCTGCGAGAGGTTTCTCTAGGTCAGGGTTAGTATAGTTATGGCAAGAAAGAGAGGAGACGGGTCTTACTCAAGGAGGTTGGCGACGTGAGCATATTTGCATTCGGTTTGGCGTTTGATGCCTGGAAACTGTAAGTGAATGATCAGGATCCATATAGTATGGAGCAACTTACATGCTAAACAATGAGGTCGACCTCGATCACACTGATGCAAATGTTAGTTGGTCATCAAAATGAGCTCAAGAGTCAAGGATCGGATGAGAAGGGATAGGCAACAAAACTAAATGAAATACTATCCCCAGCATTAATGACCAAACTCACCTTCGTCTTCCTCTCTACACACTCAAAACATGACAGCGTCGGTTTATTCCGTTTCTGCTTCTTCCCCTGTGGTCCACCACCACCCCCCGTCGTCGTTGACTTCGGCGAAGCAGCACTGCCGCTATCTCCCTCGACGCTCTCACTCGGGCCGCTGACACTCCACCTGGGAGTGGTGCCGCCAAGCCCGGCCAAGGGTCCGTTGTGCACATGGTGACCGTTGGGGTTGGAGGAGTAGTCCCCATTGCTTACGCCTTGTGGATCATCGGTGGGTTCGCGCTTAACGCCAGCGACGTTGATGTTGGTGCTGCTCTTGCTGTTGTTGCTGTACCCCGCTGATGCCGCTCCGGCTCTTGTTGACCGGGTACCGTATGGGGTTGGAGTCGATGACGATGCTGCACCACCGTTTCCGGGTCCAGGTGCGGGTCCGGCAGCGGCTGTGACACTGCTCGTGTTGGACAAGGAGCGGGAGTGGGAGTGGGAGTGACCGTGGTGACCGTGGTGGTAGTGCGAAGGGTACGACGCATCAGCCGGGCTCGGTGAGGCAGCATACACGGTAGAAGAAGTGGCCGAGTTCGGGGTGAGGACGATCGGCCCCGGATAGCCAGGATGGGTCAGAACGGGCCCGGGCCGGGATCTGTTGTTAGTATCCACCGGAGCGGGACCCGGCACATTTCTTGGCTGTGCGGAGGTAGCGGATACCGAAGTGGATGCGGATGCGGATGCGGGCACGGTGACCGGCTCCGTTGACAAGAGCGGATGTGGATGCGGATTCATCGAGCCAGCACGTCCACTGCTGCCGTTGCCGAGGCGCTTCCGCTGATTGTCACCGACAGCAGGATGCCCAGACATCCACATGTGCCGAGCTGCGTCAAGCAGAGCAGTGTGCAGCTAGGGTAGCCCCGGGAGCCCGAGCAGAGGGTGGAAATGCCCGACTAGGTCCTATCGAGGAACGACGTGGTGCAAATCACCTACGGCCTCGGCACTTGTTCTTTTTGTGTGTTTGTGACCCTCTTTTTCTGCAGCTTGTTTTTTGTATCTTTCCCGTCGGCAGGCCGTGTTATGGTAGGCTCGGGAATAACGCAAACTTCTAAAAAGATGGGTTGCTGCGATTGATGACGGCAGACGGAGCAGCAGCGAAGATGCAGCCCAAACAGATGCTGCAGTCGGCGGGAATGTTTGCAAATGGATGGGAATAAGAGGCTGTTGCCGGGAGACTGGTATGACTGGTGTATTCAGGCGGAATTGTAGCGGTATGCCAAGATTGAAAGAGTAGTGAAAGACGATGGCCCGTTAGACGTCACTCTGGGGAACCCAGGCAGTCGGTTGACGGAAACCGCAATGACAAGCGATTGGGGGAACTTGTGTGTGTTACGATGGAAAGAAAAGCGATGGAAATAATTCAAGGAAATAAAGACGGGAATGAGGAGAAAAGCAGAAGAAAGTGGAAAAACCGACACGGATTGACGGATCGGGAACAACAAAAAGCCAAGCAAAAGTTAAGTGGGTGATGTTGGGTAGGTCGATGAGAAAAAACGAATCCAAGAGACTAAAATCCTTCCGATTCCCGACCTTTTTTGCTCTCCCTCTTTACTCTTTTCTCTTTTTAACTAGCTCAAAAAGCTTGTTCACAGCCTCACCTATGGTTGAAGTGGAGGAATCGGGGTCCAGATCACAGTCGAAATGAGGGGGAAGGGAAGATACCCCGACTAACGGTAGTTCGGAGCACAAGGAACATGGAGTGAGTGTGTGAAGGCGGTGGCTGACAAAGACAATCGAATGGACGCATCCGAATGGCGGCGACTGGGGGCCATTTCGCGATCGATAGCTGTTCGTTATAGCTGGCGGGTATCAATATTATAAGTCGCCCCCGGTCCATTTTCGGTAAGGTTACCCATCGCTGGTTCACTGTGAATATTCACTGTGGTTATCGAACGCCGTCTTCATCGTTGTTTTTGGTATCGCCAAAACTATTTTCCCATCACAGCTTTTGAGGAGCGAATCGCAACAATTGCTTTCTTTCGGGAGTCGTTGAGCAGAGCAGTTCGGGCACCCTCCTTGCCGGTTTGGTTCTATGGTTTTGTAATTGATTGATGATTTTCCCTTGACTCACACTTTAGTTGATAAAATAACGGCATTTCTTCTTATCACCAGCCTTTTTTCCATTCAAACATCATCCAACTTCCATCTTCTCATAAGCTGCAACTGACATGTGTATACTTCGCAACGACACATGTTGGAGTTTCGGTATCTAGGAGATTCATGACTTATCCCAGCGAGATCGGCACCCGCAACAAACATCCAGAACGATTGATAGGCACTAAATCGTACAATGTCTCATAGGTAGGCGCCATGCAATGCACATGTCAGAACTGCCGGCCTGAAACGGTGACAACCGTAGCGGGTTCCATGTGACAGAGACAGTCAGGACAATTAGAAATGTGGTCTTCCAATCACTCCTCGGAGATAGCACAATAGGTGCTGACAAAATCTGTGACATGAGAGGAGAAGCTTGCGAAAGAGTCTCAGTTCCGGTTACGGAAGCAGCTAACGAAGATCTTCTCGTTTAGCCACCCTGGCTCGCCTGCTCGCCTGGTAGGAGGTAGGAGAATGTTAGTGCCGTTGATCAACAGGCACCAAGTTAGGGTTACCCCAGACATTTTCGGTTGGGCCCTCGGTTGGGAGCCGGGGGACCGATTGACCGGTTCCGCGATGCGATGCGATGGAATTCAGAAACGAGGTGTGCGAAAAAACCAAATACTGAACACTCTCTGATGTGTTTTTGTAAGAGTGTGTTCGAACTATTAACGCATACCCTGAGAAAACACCAAGGGCTGGAAAAATACGATAGCTTGCTTTCAGTGATGCTGCCACTTCTACTTCTACTTCTACTCTATGCAGGTTCTACCATCCCCCTTCTAAAAGACACTCAACCAACAAAAACTCCTCATAATTCCTCCTTATCCTCCTCATCCCCTCCTCCAACCCCCACCCTTTAACCTCACATATCCTCCTCGCGATATCCTCCAAATACCCATCCATATCCTCGCCCGCCACATGCAAATCGCTCTCCACCAGCACCTGCCCATCCGGACACGCCCTGATGACATCCGCAAACTTGGCCTCTCCGCCCGCCGTCCCCAAGTTGACCCCCATCGAAAACGAAAAGTAGCACTTGACGGGTATCTTAGGGTCCAAGTACTGCTTCAACATCTGCGGCGGGCCGCTGAAGGAATGTAGACACGCTCTAGGCGGGAACGGTTTCGGCTTGTACGGCTTTTTGGTCTTTTGCTGTTTAGGTTCCCCCAGCCCAAATTCATCATCAGAGTAGTCTTCCTCACTAGACGAAGAAGAAAAGTCCTCCGACACCCCCTTGGCAATCATCTTCTGCTTCTTCCGCGAAACCACCTCCTTCTCATGGCCCTTCCACAACGAAGCCAAGGCGTCGAATAACACGCCGTGAGCCTGCACACCATGCAAACTAACCGGCCTTCCCAGCTCCCCAGCCAAGTGCAGCTGCGCTTTGAGGATCTCCACCTGATGCGGCATCTTAACGTGATAGGGGCTTAACATCCTCCCCTCGCGGCCGCCAGGCGTTAGGTCGCCGTTGCGCGAGGACTCGTTGACTTTTCCCCAGGGCAGACGGAAGGCTTTGTCGACGCCGATTTCGCCGATCAAAGCGTTTGGGTGCGCGAGCAGACGTTGCCGGGTTTCGGAGAGGAATTTGCTGAGGGGGGTGGGATCGGGGAGGGAGGCGATGAAATCTGTGTCGGCTTCGGGAGTGGGTGAGAGGACGGAGGAGTAGTGCTTGGTTTTGTGCGCTTGGATGTCTGTCACTTCGGGCTCCTCTTTGGAGTCGTCGTAGAGCTGGTGGGAGAACCAAGGGTGCCAACCGAAGGCTGGGACGACCTTCTTTGGGGTTTCGGATGAACTGCTTTCGCGCAGCTCTTTCAGGTCTGTGATGCCGTGCTGCTCGGCTACGGATACGACGAGGTCTTGGTCTTGACCGCGGGTGGCCATGATGGTGAGGAGGCGGGCTTGCATGTTTTTGATGCTGGAGATAGAGGTCATGGTGTCGGTTGGGTGACAGTGAGCGTCGTAGACTCCGATGTGCCACGGGAATGGCTCCTTTGGAGCCCCATCGTCAACTCTTTTAGGAGCTTCGTGAGGTGTTGATTCGCCGGTAGGGGAACACATGGCTGGTGTGCGAGGAGATGCTGTGATGAGTACCTGGATGCTGGTGTTGACACTATCGGGAGAACTGATCGTCGGAAAATTGTGAGGAAGGTGAGGAAAATGGATATTTAGGTCCGGTAACTTTTGGTATTGAAGAAGCAATTGGAAAATCGCGGATGCAATGTCAACTCGGCCCGTTCACCGTCCTTCTCGTCCTGTCAGCCTTCAGGTACGCCTCCTCCAACGGATGATGTCAGTTGGAGATGCGTGTGGGGAAGCTATTCCCTGTCCACAAAATATCATCCTTGCCCCTCCTGAGCTCAGCCTCAACACCATGATAGTCCACCCCGCAAAGGGGGCTGTAGATATCTTTGAAGTCAACGCTTGTGGACTGTTTCTCACTTTTTGTGCGTGTGGCTGAGAATATCACTCGATGTTCATTTCATCGCTGACTTTTGAGTGGATCTTGCTTTGATCCAGACCTCTCACACTTTGTAGACTTGGAAACTGCTGCCTGGATACGCCCTGTCTTGGCATCAGAAGAAATATTATGGCGATGGGGGGAATTTCGCTGTGTTCAAGCGAGTATATAAACAGGAATTGACAGCATCGCTAAGAAACAGCCTTCAGGTGGAACATGTTTTTGTGATCCTCAGACCGGCGTCTTTGCCGGCCAAGATGATCGCCGATGCCTTTTTCCTTGTCCACTCTTACTTATCCTCCGACAGCTGCGTCCATGTTCGAAATGGGAAAGATAGGCGCTGTGTGTTGACTTCATTGATTGACGTCGGGGATATTCCAAACTCGACCGAAACTTCCCCCAGCTTTGACACCAACGTCAATGGGCCGATGATGGGACGACCGCGGGGTTCCTGTGGTACACAAGTTGGACACCGCATCTGTCAGTGTCAAGCGGGGCGAATGTCGGTGGGTGACACAAGGGGACCGGTGAGCGCATATACAATCTGTGGCCGGCAGGAAACAGGAACCTCGATTCCTCGCAGCTTCCTGTTCTGCATCTTGATGAAGGAGGGGAATGGACTCTGGGTGTTCAGTTCTCGAAATTTGCAAGAGAAAGACGGAAAAGTGTGACTGCCAAGACCTTCCCGTCCTTATTCTGGGCCACTTCAACGGTTCAACCGCTGTTCACGGCCCTAAAATCGGCCCCTGTGGTGATCTGGTCGCTCATCCGGCGCCTGCCGAAGTGTCAAAGCGGGTGTACCAGTAGTGGACCCCGAAACCAGCATGTTCCTGGGCTTCCCCAGCTTTTGAAGCTCCGACCCCTGTTCAAAACGGCTTTCATCCCCCTTTGCCTTCCCCAGTCAGTCCATGTTTCCATGTCTTGCGCACTTGCACTTCACATGCTTGTCTTTTCAAGTCTTTCTTTGAGCCTCAACATCGCTATACAGAACAACAAAAAACTTGTCGCTGTTGAAGTTTTCTATCATATCTTAAAGACAATCAATTCAGCGCCATAACCTCGGTCAAAGAAAAAGATAACTGTGCTCCAAAGCACTCTAAGCACAACGCATGTTGGTCTCGGCGGCAGATATGCCCCTCGCAAGCAAGAAAATCCGATAAGCTGCATACAACCTCGAAAGACTCCTCACCTCACTCTTCGACTCACGACCAAACCAGAAACCGACATCTCTTGCTCACAAATCTCATCTCACATCAAACCTGAGTAACAACTACGTCTTTTTTTGAGCTCTGCTGGGGCAGAGTTTGATCTTTCATCTGTTACTCTCAGATATCCATCTCTTGAAGAGTTTTCCACATTGTCAACAACATCCGTCAACAGCCGGCCGAAAACGCCAACCAGACATCATGCCCTTTCTCAACCCCGTCCATGGACTGGTCGTCCCCTTCCTCTGCCTCTTCACCATCCCTATGGCCATCTTCGCCGGAATTACCTCGACCCTGGCCTTCTCCCTGCTCATGTTCCGCGTAGCCATCGTCTACGTTGACATAGCCATGGCCTTCGTCCCACAATTCATCAAAGGCCGCCACTACAGCCACAGCCTCACCGAAGGCGAACACTCATATGGACGCCGCCTCTCCAACTCTAGCAGAGGCAGCTACGGAAGCAGCCGGCGCGGAAGTGGAGAACACTCTCCCTCAGGCGTCGTCTCCCCTTCTCCTTACTACCAAAACCGCTACGATGCTCCTCACCAGCGAAGTCCGCTCCGCCGCAAGACCAGCTACGGCTTTGGCTCTGTTCATCGACGCTCTCGTCGCTCTAGTCAAGCATCGATCTCTCCTACCATTGGCTCTATCCGTGAAGACTCCGAGATGGTCCCTGCGTTGCCCGAGTCCGGAGGGCTGGCACCTTCCGTCGGTATCGAGCGAGACTTTGAAGGAGTAGGCGGTTGGAGACTGAATGACTCCAACGACGACGATGGATGGGAGAATATCAACTCACGCCTGGAATTACCGATGGAAAGGTGTTCCAGTTTTGGAAGCCGGTATCACAGCCTGAGCCATCGGTCCCATAGTGTTGGGCCCGGGTCGCAATCGATGGAAGGGCAAAGTAACGGTTGGTTGGGAAGTACTACTGTGAGTAGAAAGGGGACCATGAGGAATGGGAGTGGAAATGGAACAAGTGGGTCTGGATATGGTGATGGGGAGACGCAGCAGGCAAGTTGGAATGGGAACGGGAATGGGAACGGGACCGGGGGCAGGGCGAACAGGAGCGCTTCGGGGAGCATCTCGAAGACGCTGACAGCGCTGACGCCGAGTGGTGGTGGCGATGGTGGAAAGAATCATTATCAGGGGAATAATGGGCCGTCGCCGATGGGGTTGCTGGAGCAGGAGCAGGGGTATTTTAATAGATCAACGGGATAGGACAAGGCTGGGGGGCATGGATGTAAAGCGACAATCAAGCAGAACATACTTCAATATGATCATACTGACAAGTCTGGTGTGTTACAGAAACAGCAAAAAATCCACATGGTATTATTCCCCATGAAAGGTCCTCCGAAACGCCGTTTCTATCCATGCATCATAACCCTTTTGATAGCCGTCAATAACCACAGCCTATCCCATCCTTTCTGTCATATACCGTACCCAATTCCCCGGAACCATTCTCAGGCAACTGCCCTAAAGCGTCTGCCAAAAATAATTCGCATAAAAAAAACCTCGAAAACCGATGTCGGTCCACGTTAACCACACAAACGTCCCCGCGTCGATCATTCCTCACCACAGCCCTCGTGAACTCCCCATCCTGCTCCTCCCGCTCAATCTCGATTCCCAAACTCCTATACACCTTTAACCTCAACAGCACCTCATCCTCCACGCTCCTCATCCCACCACCACCATTCCACCCTCCATACCCGTTCCCATTTCCATTTCCATTCCCCTCCCCTGTTGTCTGCGCAATGGTGCCGTCCCCGCCATCAACACCCTGCAACTCCAACTCCTGCAATCTCGCTTGCATCTCCGCCAACTGCGTCTGCAGCCGTTCCGTCTCCATCTCTAGATCCGAAACATTCTTTGCTACACGAAACTTTTGCGTGTCGAGGCGAGATATGAGGGAGGCGTGTTCGGCGGAGGAGTGCGAGGAGGTGACTTCTTGGTGCTGCGATTGGAGCGTGTTTAAAGTGCGCGCGAGTTTCTTGAGGTTGGTTTCGGATTCGCGAAGGCGCAGGTCGCGCGCTTGCTGTAAAGTGGATAAAGACTCGGCGACGCGGGAGACGGCGTTTCGGTCTGGCTCGATGTTGAAGTTTTGGGTTGTGTGGGATATTAGCTGTGGGAAATTAATGAATTCGTTAGTTTCAAGTTTCAAACTATGGACAAAAGGGAGAGAAAATCCATAGTGAAGATGCTTCTTGTTGACAGGCACGGTTGGCGTGTTGATAGGAGAGTGCGAGGAGATGCTTACGGTGGAGGGGTCTTCTTCGAGAAGCATTTTGGTGGTTTTTGTCTGGTTCTGATTTGGTGTTCCTTTTGTTCGTTCTTTTGGTGGTACGTTCCACTACTAAATCGTGTTCAAGAGTTCTTTCTTGTGTATTCTGTGACCGTTAATGTGCTGGTTTTTGTTGTAGAGGCGTGTTTGGTCTTCTCAATTGAAAGTCGTGATGGTTTGTTATTGCGTCGCAATTGTCGAGTCCCGAACCAAACAAAGGACCCATCACTCTGGGCGACGAGCCGCAACAAGTGGGACAACACCTTATCTTATCGCAGATTCACACGGGGATAATCGGACCAGGGTCATGCTGTTTCCCCAGTGTCCTTCGTCATCGGTGGCACATTGGACAAGAAGCTCCAGCCACGCGACCCGACTACGGGCGGGCACTCTGCTTAGCTATCACTAAATTCCAGAACCTTGCTGTCCACCTTCTCACACCACAAACCCGATCTACGAACTCGACATTCCTATACTTGCTCCGTCACGAAGTTTCCGACCACCTTCACATCCAGGATACTGATTTTCTTCTTCTCCCAACCAAAACCCTCAGTTTGCCAAAATGACACAACTTCCCTGTAGGTGGTCAGCTCATGCGACTTGTTTTCATTGTTCTCGGAGCTTAGCAGAGGCAGCGAGGTAGCTAACAAACCGTGGTTACAGATGCAGTGGATGCGGAAACGTGAGTCCCCGAGTTGCACAATCATTCGAGGCCCCAGGGTTCCCGAGTCATCTAACAAAACGACGATCACCGATGCAGTCCGCTCAATGCCGCCGAGCTCAATGTTCTCCGGGCGCAATATGAGAAGGAGGGGGAGATGGTCGGCGTCCAGACCAAGTTCAACTACGCATGGGTGCGCATCACATTTCCCGATCCCAAAACCCGATTTAACTCGACGGAACACAACACTAAAAAGCCAACCTTTTGGATATGTAGGGCCTAGTAAAGTCCAACGTACGAGCCGACCAACACCTCGGCGTCATGCTGCTATCAGAAATCTTCCGAACATCCCCCGAGCGCCGCCGTGAATGCCTATACTACCTCGCCCTCGGCAACTACAAGCTCGGCAACTACGCGCAAGCGAGGAAATACAACGACGCCCTGCTAGAAAACGAGCCCGCGAACCTCCAGGCCGCCAATCTCCGGGCCCTGATCGACGACAAGGTGACCAAGGAGGGTCTGATGGGCGTGGCCATCATTAGTGGTGTGGCTGTTGCCGCTGGTGTTATAGGAGGTGTTTTGCTCAGGAACTTGGGCCGCAAGAGGTAATAGGTAGGAAGGAGGAACCGGTCGACCGATGGATGGTATACGGCACACAAGGTGAAAGTGCCGAAAGTGCCGCTCCTTGGGTGACTGTATGCGATAGCAGGGCCCGGTGTGTATAATTTAGGCGATGATTTGATGAGCCAATCTCCTTTTCCTTGTTTGAACTTCCGATAACTGGACTACAGACATTCCCTTCTATCAGATATAGGCGTTTGGATTCACATCCCCCCTCGTCCCAGCTACTTGCTCCAAGTCCCAACAATGGTGTTTGCTCGGTAGACCTACTCTCTGGATTTGCTCTTCCTTTGGATCAAACTCGGCTTATGTCCTACATTCGCCTCATTTGACCGCGAGGACTTCATTTACCGGTTCTAGGAGCGGCCCCGGATATCGGATGCTGGAGAATGTCGTGTCAGTCCTTGGCGCTAGCCTTGAGAACCGTGACAACTCAAAACATGCTCCTCTTTGAAGGCTTAGACACTGTGCCCATGTGGTTGGCTTTGATCACCACTCGCTTTATGTTGGAAAGTCCTGGTACCACAATCATCCCAAAGCCACTTTGTAGCGCGTTATCAACCGCGCTGCTAAATGAAATAGCTAGACGCATAATACCGTACCGTATCGTCGGTATATACTTCAAGGTGTGTGTGCCTTGCCGTCCATAGCCCACTTTCGTGCATGCGGCACCATTTGTCTCAGGGTCAGGCCGCATCTCGACGCCGACATATTGGCTCACCACTCCCGTCAACGGCCTGCGACATGCTAGATTGGGTCCCTTGGGCTTTTGATTGATGCGAGCAAAGAATCCCCGGGGCAGACTTTCAAAGTCTTCCCCTCATCAGGCATTCAATAAGTGCATTTCCAATGTGACATGAAACACTGTAAGATTCACCGTTGAACCCCACCCGATTCACGGATCGTGAACAACCGTGGATGAGTTGTCCTAGATGACAGGTTGCAATAACTGTAAATTCCAGGATAGCGGAACATCTATATCGGACGAAGTCCACAATGGAACATGCAAGAGTACAAAAGATGAGGGCTAGAATGAACCCGTGGCGAGTATAAGAAGGAAACAGAACAATTACCGGGATCCATTGTACATCCTAGAAATACCGTAACGCTGTGACGCAGGGCCGCCGACTTTCCGACGCCCAACCGACACAGCGATTACAGTGATTGCAGGGCTACCTATTCAGGGTCCAATGGGATGTCGCATTACCTCATCAGTCTTCCCTCTTTTATTGCTCGGTCGGATCCCCAGGACGCAAGGTACAGACAGAACACATCAATCTAGCAAACGGCTGAACCTTCAACAAACTGACGTTTGTGCCATCCATCCATTTCCTTCTCTCCCAAACAATAGAACCCTCGCCACAAAAGAGCTCGCGGCCTCGAACAACCACAGACTCCCCTTCACAGCGAGCAAAGACCGATATCTGTCCATTTAAGCTGTGCCTGGCGGCTGTTCCCTTAGACACCGTTGACGTCGCCGCTACGATCCTTCAATAATAGGACGCCAATGCTGCCGATTACAGCAGTTGTATCAATAACGTCGAGTCCATCATAGTGGGGCAGCGACTTCACTTCACTCGAACAACATCACCTATTTACCTACAAGTCCACGACTTTTCCACCTGCAAATACTATCCTACACGTATCACGCGCGAGATTCTAGCTTTCAGAAGCCAACTGCAAAATACTTGGGAATCTCCCATCATAAAAAGCACCCGCCGATTCCGATATCACCCCTCAAAGTGGCCTTGCGAGCACTCCAAAACTTCGGCCTCACCGTCCAGTTAGGGCTCGCCGCCTTTGCTGCTTACAACGCAACCCAAAGGCTGCTGAGCCGACCGACGGCGATGGCCTCTCCCGCGTTTCCCCAGAGGCATCTTGATGCAACGGCAGGCAGAGAAGTCGTCTACTGCTATGGCTGCGAAAACGAGTGGTATCGCGAGGACTATCCCCACCTGGACCTAGAATGCCCCAGGTGTCACAATGATTTCGTACAGATCGTGGGTTCCCCCCGTTTACTGTCCAGCTACCGTCATGCTGACCTTCTTACAGGTCGAACCCGACAACGACCCCCGGCCAGGTGTTCAGCAACAAGGTCCCCGTTCAGACTCAGACCCGGACGAAGAGGACATAGATGAATACTTTGCGAGTCGAGATGGTCCCGGGTCCTTCTTCATGCGGCGATCGGTATACCACTCGCCAGATAGTCCGTTCCAAAGTCCCTTCAACCTTCCAGGTGGCAACGACGCTGAGGACCTCAACGGCAATCCAGGCCGGCCCCGCGTCCGTCCAGATGATTCTGGCGAGGCCGTTTTGTCGCGGTTCGCCGATATGTTCGTCCAGCTAGGCGGCACGAGGCCGGGACAACAAGGAGGCAGCATCTTTGGGTCACAGCCACAGATACAGCGTACAACTTTCACCAGATCAGGAGACGGCGTGGCTAGTGTCACCCTCACGACAACGACAACCACAGGAGGCGCACCGGGAGACGGGCCGGAAGTGCCCGCTTTTGACACGTATGTTCGCTCGCGACATGGCAATCCTGGAATTCGCAGACACACCATTATTGTTGTGACTAATGGGAGGGCTAACTCTAATGGTGATGGCAGTCTGTTTAGGGGTCTCCTTGGCAACCTCCCGTCACCGGGCGCAGAAGACCCCGGTGGTGGTCCGGGCCAAGGCGGCGGCCAACGAGGGCCTCCTGGGTTTGCCACTGCCCTGCAGGAGTTCCTCGCTACGATGCTGAACCCGCAGACGGCGGTTCATGGCGATGCCGTGTTTACCCAGGAAGCACTCGACCGCATCGTAACGACTCTCATGGAGGATAACCCGCTGTCCAACGCGGCTCCTCCAGCATCGCAAGCCGCTATTGAGAAATTGCCCAAAAAGATGCTCGACGAGCAGATGGTCGGCCCCGAGGGTAAGGCCGAATGCACCATTTGCATTGATGACATGTACAAGGGCGACGAGGCCACTGTGCTACCGTGTAAGCATTGGTTCCACGGGGAATGCGTCGCCTTATGGCTTAAGGAGCACAACACGTGCCCTATTTGCCGGATGCCGATCGAGGGAAATAGTTCATCCGGGAGCAACAACAACAACAGCCAAAACTTCCAACCGTCCGAATCACGCCAAGAAGCCAGTGCCAGCTCTACATCAGCCTTTTCTTCGTCAACCGCTCCAGGACGGAACCCCTTCGAATCGCTAAACCCATTCGGACCACGAAGCCAATTACCCACAGATCGACTTCGCCGCAACGAGCAGGAAACGGAAGAGCGTCTCAACCGAATCCGTAACGCGGCCGGCATTGGACGCACCGACTCCCAAGGGCAATCCGAGGGAATTTCGCGGCGTACCTCACACTCGCCTCCCAGCCGCGAGAACTCCAGTTTCAACATGCGACCGCGCGTTAGGGACCCGTCGCCACCGAGAGATAGGGGTACCTCGACGGCCTGGCAGCAGAATACGAGCAGCAGCAGCAATTCGCAGAGCAACATCAGCAACAGATACAGCGGTGGACTCGCCAGCCTCTGGGGCCGCAGTAACAGTAATAGCGGAGAGGGAAATTCACGAAACCGTGAAGCGGAGGGACAACGTGAGGGGGGAGGACAACAGCAGCAACAACAACAGCAAAACCAACAGCAGCAGCAGCAGAGTACGAGTTCTGGAAATGGCGCGCTAGGGTGGCTTAGGGACCACTTTGGCCGGGGTTCCGGTTCTGGATCTGGCTCGGATAGGGATAGGGAGCGTAGGCGCTGAGCCTGGTAGGAGTGGGCATGGCAAAGCTTAAATGTTGGTGGCGCTGTTGTATAATTGTGGTTTTGAAGAATCCGCTCAAGTACACATACAGAGAAGGCAAAGGGAACTTTGGTTCATCGTGGATGGGCTTTTCAGGCTTTGATGGCTAGACCGTATGGTTCTTGACTATAAGACAAATCAACCAGATTGGGAAATAGTGGGATCAAATGGATAGAAGGCGAAGAAGGGTATGGCACAATGTTGCGTTAAGAGAAAGCAATGGATAAAGATGCAAATGACAGGTATGCCAGGGCTTGTATCATATCTGTTGTTCTTTATCTTCTTCCGGTGTCTTTTTTGTTGCTTGGATCGATCGGTGTGTTCCAGCCTTGCGGCGATTTCGTCTTTTACTCCCACCTTGGCCATCCATCACCTGGCACATCCACTTGTCATTATTGAAAGATGGCCGCTGTTGATTGTATTCTGAAACCACTCTTTGCCCTGCGTTGAATACATGGTTGCAGTAGAGTTGATTTTCTCCCTTCATTAATACCTACAACACTAGTTAAAACTACAATAAAAACCAAGAACTTGGTAGTCTTCACTTTCGCCATCTTGCAAATAACTATACTCCATACGTGACAGTAGACATTAGATGCAGTGACCCATCGACCACACCTACCCAACCCACCTTTATTCGTCTCACACCTCACACTCGACCTCACACATTCCTTAACCTTGCCGGGACCCGGCTGCAAACAAGGTTACCGCTAAATCTCACTCGATTGGAGTACCTCCGATGTAACCCCAAGGCAAAACAAGCAAAACCTAACAGAATCTCACCAATGCTGTTACTGGATCGCTGCCAAGCAACCCACTGATGCACGCTGACAAGCTTGTGATCGATTGTCATCCGTATCAACTCGCTAGCATATTGGTTGAAGTCCCTGTTGGCCCCAGATATTCTCGACGCTAAGGGGTATTCCAATCGAGTGAGAACAAGCGGTATGCTGTCATCATTTTAGTGGCGTGCCCCTCACCTTCCATTCTCCAACTTCCCCCAGACCGAGCCAGCGAGCCAGGGAGCCAAGCGATCAAAACGTGCTAGGGTTGTCATCTATCTTCGTAAGCTTCCCACTTTTTTTTTTTCGGTAAGGTTGGCGAGGTTGGCGAGGTTGGTCAGTTCCGTGTAAGCTGATTGGTTGAATAGGTCAAATCGCCCGGCGGCCTCTCGAATCTCACAATGGACAGATGAGATGGTTGTCTTGCGCACATACTTGTAGTGTAGGGAATTCGGCTGCCTGGTGCAGTGCAGTGTGATTAAGAGGACCTGGTTGGCTGGGGGATCGTAAGTGTACCGTATTTGTTCCTGGCCTGTGGTCTGTGAGAGAGAAAGGTGTCGGTGTTGGCTATCTGTCCTTTTTATCTTTTTTTTGTACTCTTTTATCTTTTTATCTTTTCACCTATTCCTACTCTTCAACCCTTTTGAGCCACGGAGGTTTGGGAATTGTTAGAACTAGGCAACCCTTTGTTGGTCGCCGGCCAGGTCAGGTTGCTCCAGGAACCGAACAGGTGAGGTGACGACGACGCTGGCTAGGCGAGCTAAGCTAGCCACGAATCAATTTCTGTTCGGACGACTACACCTCACGACGGATACCTACCATACTGGAGACGGACGCTCCGTTGCCACTGCACTTCCGTTCAATCGGTGCCTATTTGCAACACAAGGAACATCCGACGGGAGTGCCTCCGATCTAATCGGTCTTCCACGTGCAAACAGGTACCGGACAGTTCAGTTACCTCTAGCGGTAGACGTTGTAATTGAACCGTCCCGCACCGTCCCGTCGCTTCGCGCGCTACAGCATCGGTGCAATCGCCGCGCCGCACCGCACCGTACCGCGCCGTGGTCGCCGGAAGCGAGAATTAGGCTACCCTACCAACCCCTCTCCACCCGCGCCCTCGACCGCCCGCGGTTGCACCTTCCGGCTCTAGGACACTCAACCACAACATCGCCAATAAGATGCCAGGACTCAAATACACAGCGCTATTTTCGGCTCTGGTCGTGGGTAGTGTCGTGAATGGATTGGAAGGTATGCAGAACCTTACCTGTGTTCGAAATCAATTTCACTTGAGTGATTAATGTTTGGCACGGTTGATTGACTGACCAACATTTACTGTGACAGATGTCGCGCCAGTAACGGCCGCTGTCCCCAACCCGCAAAGTTTGTATATCCAGTTTATGCATCCCACGCCGAGGTCTTATGGGTATGGCCAGGATTTGGTATGTCATCCTCGAGTCCCTTAAGTTCTATTTTACCCTTTGCTCTTACCAGCAGCTTACCTACCTACCTACCTACCTACCTGTGCCAAACTGTCTTCCTCAATTTCTCAATATCCTTCAACTCGATATGAGTGAGTAACTGCAAGTTTGTTTGAGCTGACCAAAGGATGGTAAACACAAACAGGGTTTCCGCCTCAGTGTCAACCCCTCTTTTTCCTCTCTCACCCCCGGCAATTGTGCCTCGCCAAACATAACAATCAACAACCAACCCCTTCTTTCTCCGCCTTCGGAAGACGGGTCTTTTACGCTAGATAACGATATCAAGGTCGATCTCACTTGGGAGTCACGGTGTTTCCCTTCCTCAACTAACGTCGACGTCGACGTCGATAACGCCGACCCTGCTCTCAACGGAACTAGCAACGACGGCGAAGCAGATTCCAAGCAGCAATCGCGATCGCAATCGGTTACGCTTGATTTGAAGAGCGTGGACGGACAGCCGGTCAAGGAAGAGCTGAGCTGCACGATCTGGTTCAGACAGGAAGAGCCGGTCTGGGCGTTTGGAGTAGCGGGGTGGTGCGTTGATGCGCGGATTAGGGATGTCAGGGGGAAGCATGGGCGGTGGGAGGTTATTTTTGACGATGCCACTAATTTCGGAGGCAACGCAGTAGGAGAGGGAAACGGAGGAGAATACGGGAAAGGGGGGAGTAGAGTGATGCGATTGATGACGGAGAGGAAGGAGTTCGAGAAGGAGGTGGAATGTTTGGAGTATCGGCGGAGCGTGACTGCAGACCAGGAGGAGGAGGGAACTCGTGTGGTTAGACAGGGGCATGGTCATGGCTATGCGCAACAGCCGGTCGTCAGCAGGGAGTACGCAGCAAACCGACAACGCCTCGAAACACTCTGCGCGAACCTCCCGCCGAGAGCGGTCGACACCAGCATCTCCTCCTCTGTCCATCCGCCGTGGCAGTTACCGCATCATCGACCGGCTAGACCAGCTCGTCTCCCATTCCCTGACCTTTTCTTGGACTCTCCCTCACCATCAATCCAAAAACAGACTCTAGCTTTGCTTTACGCATCCCTCCGCGCCTCGTTCCAGGCTCACCTTGCTGTCCTCTCATCTACCCGCCTTGCTGCCTACCTCATTTTCCTGTCTCTTCCTATCTTCGCTTGCCTCTTCCACTGCCTGCGCAGGTTACGCAACCGTAGAAGAAGACTGGCTCGGAGAAACGGACTGGGAGAGCCGGCGATAGTGGGAGAATCGCCTTGTCCCGGCTTTTACGGAAGTGATGAAAGCTGTGGGGAGTGCATGGCTAGGTATTTCGCGCAGATGGAAGTTGAAGCTGGCGAAAACGACGAGGAGTGTGGAAGTGGGTGGGATGATGGAGCTGGGGAGAAGGTGAGCGAGGAGGTGGGTGAGGAGGAGTCGCTGGAGGAGAAGGGGCAGATGTCCGAGGAAAGGTGCGAGGGCACGGCAGATGCGAAGGAAGAAAAGGAGAGGTTATCAGAACAAGAGTACCAGCACTGCCGCGAATACCACGCTGTCCCGGAGGATGGGTTTGCGTTGCGGTACGAGCCAGGGTCCGAAACCCAGACTGTTCACGAGCCTGTTGCCCAGCAGGTTGTTGTTGTTGATGATGATGATGATGATGATGAAAGGGGATGGGATGAGAAGGAAACCTTGGTTGACTCTGAAGACGAGCGCGAGAAGGCGCGCGGAGATGAAGTCGGGGAGAGCAGCAATGGTGAGGATAGCGGCGGAGAGGAGAGCGATGATGACTTGTCTATTGGAGGTGAACTGGCTTCGTTCATGAGGGCTGCGAATTTGGTGGAAGATATGATTCGGGCTGGAGCGAGGCGAGAAGCGGTTCCAAGACCTAGACCTGAGGTCGTCGCTCCGGTAAATATCAGGCGGCAGGCGCCTGGAACGCCTCCACCTCCGAGTTATGGGGAGGTAGTAGGGCTGAGGGGCCACGGGATTGCTGATGATGAAGGGTTACCGCCTCGGTATGAGGAGCATTTGAGGAGTCGAAGGTGACGGACATCCTTTTGTCGTCAGGAGCTTCTTCGAGTACTTGTGGGTTCACGGGTTCACGGGTCTATTGGTAATGCTTAATGACTGTAATGAGTGCTGGGGAAATGCTGTGGCACATAGGTACCTGGGCATAGGCGATGCAACTCCTCATGTGCATCAGTATGGTGTACTTGTTATCTCCTTTAAAGGTATGCATTCGGACGAACATGACATACGATACAAATGTACCAACATCTTGAGTGACGATATAAATGTTGACATTTGTTGGAGGTTGTACTTGTCAAGAACTCAAAGAGGTCGAATGGGAACGTTCCCAGCCCCCACTAACAGAGGTGGTTGCCGTGGTAACGTGGAATTCGGAAGACAATATTTAGTCTGTGTGCTTGGCGCTATTCAGAGATGTCCAATGGACCAGAACCGTCTTTTCCCAGGTGGGTTTTCTTCGATATGGCAGGCGGCTTTAGTCTTGAGAGCAAACCGACAAAATCTTTCTCGTTCGTCCACTTGTACCAAGTATAGACGAATCGTGGTGGCTGCTTTATTTGCCTTTTGAGCTGTCCTTCCCGTAGCTTATGATAGCCGGATTCGGGGAATGACTCTCAAGGGGTGATAATTGGTTGCCTTCTGGCCTGTCACTGCACTGACTGACATGACGAAAGGTTCCCCGCAGCTGTGTGGCAGGTGCCGAGGCGCGCCGCGTTGTTCCGCTCAACGGAGAGTGATGCTGCATGGAGGTGAGGTTGAGTTCTGACCACAGGATTTATTTGGCGATACATTCACCCAACGAAACGTGCTGCCTTATCACGGGTACGATTTTATCATGTCCGTGACGGCGATGGACTCAAACTTTCGTTGGTGACGAGGCCGGTTGAAGAGAGGAAGCCTATGGCGCGCAATGCGAAAGGTTTGGTTGGGGGCGTCAATCTGTTCTCATCAAGTGAAGAGATATTCAACTGATAATTCCGCCAGTGTATTGTATTGGAGGGTATGCCAGCGAAGAAACGGGAATATCAGGTCGACGGTGAAGTTCGAGTTCCATTGCGTGCGCAAGTCCAACCTGAACGGAACCCATTCACAAGCTGGAAATAACGTCGTGGCCAACCACTGCCGTAACGAAGCGCGCGAAGGGCCCCAACTGCCCGCCCTGCCCTGTGCTAATCTCCACTTCCACTTCCACCCGCCCCCGCTGAGCCTTGGTAGTACCCCATATTCGGGAGACGCCCAGACGTTCGATTTCAAGATCCGCTTCGCACCAGACTCCGTCGCTGCCACTTTCTTTTTTTTCGCTCTTGCTTTTGCTGTCTGGTATTGATAACTTTTCTGAAACCGAGACCTTCTCGTTTCTCATCCTTGCTTCTCATTTGTATCCGTTGCCTACCGGCGCGTCTAGCCCGGTCCCCTTTTGCAACACCAAGCAACGTTGGCGATTTGTCCAGGTTGCGGCCACAGTCCTCCTCACTTGACAACCACATCACCAACCCCGCGATCAATCAGACACTCTGACATCATGGCCGACCCGACGCAAAACCAAACCGACACCGCGGACTCCGTCGTCGCGCCAGTCGCGAAGGAAGACGCCGAGACCACGGCCGCCCGCCGCGAACTCAAGCACACATCCATCTCCGAGCAAGGCATCACCGTGGCCCAAGACAGCGGATCGGACAATGGCACCCCTACAGCAGGATCAAAGAGGACGACCCCAGAGCCCGCAATTGGCGACGATAAGGACACCGAGATGAAGGAGCAGGTTTCCTCTCCTAAGAAGAAGCGAGCACACGACGAGCTTGACGAGAGCAAGGACGCGAACGACGCTCAATCCGGGGACAAGGCTTCCACAGAGGAGGCCAAGTCCAGCGCGACCCAGAGTAGGACAGACAGGTCCGAGCCGGAGAAGAAGCGCGCCCGCGACGAGACAACATCGTCGGATGACGGAGTCAAGGTGGGCTCTTTAACCAACACATGCTAGCTGTGACTCTGGACTAACCCGACCGTCACTAGGAGACTCCTACGTCGGCATCCGTTGAGACAACCACCACCGAGACTACTACGAAGACTGTCGAGCCAGCGTCAGAAGTCAAGCCCACGACCGAAGAAAAGCCCCAAACATCATCCTCCGCTTTCGCCCAGTCGGGTTTCGCCAAGCTTGCCAGCTCTACAACTTCTCCCTTCGGCGCCCTAGGCGGCTCGGCAGCCCCCAGTCTTTTCGGCTCTACAAACTCCGGATCCGCCTCTCCCTTCGGCACTCTCGGTGCTTCCACCACAGCAGCGGCTCCCGCGCCACCCAAGCTCAGCTTCGGCAGCTCCGCTGCGGCACCATCGCCCTTTGCTGGTTTTAACAGCGCCAGCAATGGCTCCCTGTTCGGCGGCGGATTTTCTAGCGGTTTTGGAGGTAGCGCGCTTGGTGGAGCCAAACTTACAAGTTTTGGTGGAAAGCCCGGCGACACTTTGACGAGCAGCAAGCCTGCCAAGCCTTTCGGCGCGCCAGAGAGTGACGCGGAGGATAGTGAAGAGGAGGGAGATAACGATAAGGAGGATGCGGGGTCGAACAAGGAGAAGGAGGGCGAGAACGATGAGGCTAAGACTGCGGCAGAGGAAGAGAAGAAGTTAAAGTTGCGAAAGGGTAAGTTTCGATGGTCTGGGCCATCTGAGCCGCATTGTTCTGTGCTGTCATGCTAACTTGCGATTAGTCGTGGTTGACGACGGCGAGGGCGAGGACGCCACGCTACTAGCGGTACGCGCCAAGATCTTCATCATGGAGAAGGGTGTCGGCTGGAAGGAGAGGGGAGCCGGCATGCTCAAGGTCAACGTGCCCAAGGCGAGCGTCGAGCGAGATCACAACGGCAACTGGGACTCCTCGTCCTTCGACGCCTCAGCGCTAGTAGAGGACAGTGGTGATGGAGAGGCTGGCAGCGGTGGTGGCCGCAAGAGTGTCCGTCTCGTCATGCGCCAAGATCATACCCTCCGTGTCATTCTCAACACGGCGATTGTACCGGCAATGACGTTTGTTGTGACTAAGAAGCTCAAGGCGGCATATGTGCTGTTTACAGCGTTTGAGGGCACGGAGCCGAGACAGGTGCAGGTAAAGGTACGTGGGATTGTGTTCCGAGTGTATGAGTGTATGTCCAAGGGGCCATGCTAACCGTGACTGTGTACAGCTGAGCGAGGCCAACGCTACCGCCTTCAAGAGCCTTATGGATCTTATACAGAAGGAACTCTCCGATGAGTAAGAGTTGAAAACATCCTCTATACACCGTTTTGTTTTACCTAGACGAGAACGAGGTCGGATATGCAAGACAGTCGACATCGACAGTATGTCTGCTTTACTTGGTGCGAGGGCGTTGTGGAATGGATGGGCGATGGGCGATGGACAGTTGAAATGATATGCCCAGGGGTGGCTGGAGAGGCGGAGGGACGAAAATACCAGGGCAGTCATCCCTTTTGAGTGACTGGCTCTCTTGCATTTCACATTATTGCGGGACTCCTCACAAAGGAGCATCTCGTGTGGTCACAAGGAGGTGGCACTTTCGACATTTGATATCGATCCTGTGTTACTAGATGAGTGCAAGGAAGACATGCCGTGCACTGAAGACAGTTAGAGGTATAGGATCCGCTAAGTTTTCCATCCCTTTCATGACCATATTTTCTGCTATTGTTGATTGTTTCTTTTCGTTTTCCTGTTCTTGCGTCCAGGTCTTTCTTGCTTTTTGTCGTGGAATGGTGGGGAGTGTGAGTGTTGGGTACTTAGCGTAGGTACCGTAAAATGCGCCTTCCTGGGTATCGGGGTCTCTTCACCGGTTTTCCTGGCCTGAAGATGGGCTGTCCTCTGCCGTGTACGGAGAGAAGGCTCCAAGTTCCTCTTCGCTTTTTCGAATGGTGGGTAGAAAACGCAGTATGATGCCTCCCAATTTCCCCGCGAATGCACCTCCACCTTCCCTCCCAACTCAGAGCGGGCAGCCTCCTTAAGTTTGGAAGTCACTGACAACAATCTGAATAGTCTATATACACACGCCGCCTGCTGTGTCTCACAACCAGGGCCGAATTTTCTTCTTTGAAGCCCACTCATTAGGTCGATACTACCATATCAAACTGTCACTTCTTCACCCAAATGTTGTCCATCAACCCACGAAAGCCATGACCTGGCGACTCGATTAAGTTTCTTCTCTGTCTCCCCTTCACCGTGGCGTTGACGTTTTCTTCATCCCGCCATACAGCCCTTCGCAGTATCCAATAGGAACCCTCCATTGCCATCGAAACTTGACGCCATGGCTGTGCAGAGATGCTTGCTTTGGCCTCCATCAGGCTGCATGAGCTGAAGGTTGCCTGATGCCTACAATCATATTGGACAAATCCATGATTGATTCGCGCTGGTATATATTGCGGGGATGGCAGAGGACACTAGATCGCACCTTAAGTGAGTATCTCCCCTTCAAATATGGTCACGCGTGGGGATGAGTTGTCGTTGGCTGTGCATTGGTTCATATACCCCTTACTCCAGGTGTCTCTGGCCCTTGCTCGATCACTTCTCAGCTGATTATCCACCGCTTCTGAGAAGTCATTCTCCAGGCTCCTTCGCGCCATTCGGCCCTCGACCACGGTCGCTTCACATATCATTTCGTCACATCATTCCCTCTCAGCTGCTCTGTCCCCCCTGGCTTTAAAAAGCTCCCGATACCGACCAACCGGTCTTCCGCGAGATGGCGACCGAACAGACCGTCAACCTCAAGTCATATAGCGATTACACCATAGGCTGGGTTTGCGCACTCACCAAATAATTGATAGTGGCAACGGTCATGCTAGATGCTGAACATAAAGACAAGCTTCCCATTCCCAAAAACGACAAAAACATCTACACTCGCGGTTCGATTGGAGAGCACAATGTTGTCATCGCGTGCCTTCCTGAAGGCGTCACCGGTACCAGTGCAGCGGCAACCGTGGTGAAGGAAATGTTAAGGACCTTCCCGAACATCAGATTTGGCTTGATGGTCGGTATCAGTGGTGGCATTCCCAATATACCAGACCACGACGTTCGCCTCGGAGACGTTGTGGTTAGTGTGCCTCAGCAAACCTATGGAGGCGTGGTCCAGTGGGATCTGGGAAAGGCAGAGCAGGAAGGCTTCAAACGGACTGGATCTTTGAACCGCCCGCCTAATTTGTTACTTTCAGTGGTCACCGAGCTCAGAAAATGGCATGCAATGAGAGGACCTCAAATTCCAAGATACTTTGACGAGCTTGCGAAAAATTACCCACGGTTGGCTCCAAAGTACCTGAGGTCAGAATCTCTCAAGGACATCCTATTCGAATCCGAGTACCACCATACCCAAGGCAAGCCGAACAACGATTGCCAGCTCTGTGACCCCATGAGGACTTTGAGCAGAGAGCCACGAGAGTCAGAGATGGAAATCCATTACGGATTAATAGCACCAGGCAATCAAGTAATTAAGAACGCCATGAGACGGGATGAACTCAACGACATGTCAGGTGGAAACCTTTTGTGCGTTGAAATGGAAGCCGCTGGGTTGATGGACAATTTTCCTTGCCTTGTCTTCCGAGGAATATGTGACTATGCAGACTCGCATAAAAACAAGAAGTGGCAGGAACATGCTGCCGCTGTTGCGGCTGCCCATGTGAAGGACCTTCTACAGGAAGTGCCCCCGGCAGATGTGGACAGCGAGCGGGCTGCATTGGAGGTTATTCAAGAAGGTCGGTTCCTCACCGTTTCCATGAAACGCCTTGCTGGCCTTCAGTTTCCCTCAACCATTTGACATTTTTCCAACATTCACTCAAATCTTTCATCATAAGCTGGTGGCGCCAACATCATATCTCACTAACTTATGAGCACTTTTTCAATACGTCACGTTAAGTTGATCCTTCCCGCTCAGCCACAGAATTTATTCATTCCTTAAACGGGTGTCATGTCGTTCTTTCTAACACTTGTTTAGTGAACCAAAACGTTCTCAAGACAGTTGAGGATGTGAACCGTATCAAATCCAAGTTGAAAGCAGAAAAGGAGTTCGCTATCATTGAGTGGTTGACGCCGATAAATTACGGCTCACAGCACAGCCTTTACCGGAACAGACGCGAACCGGGGACAGGCGGGTGGTTTCTGGATTCCATTGAGTACCATGAGTGGTTGACAGGTGCCAGACAGGTTCTATTCTGTCAAGGTATCCCGGGAGCTGGGCAATCCGTTCTTTCTGCCCTATTCACTGAAAACGTATCACGAGACTTCGCTTAGGATGTGGACATCGGCATTGCTTACATATATTGCGACTACCAACGCCGCGACCAGCAAACGCCACTTCACCTCATCTCCAGTCTCACGAAGCAGTTGTTCCGGCTCAACGCTCCTCTGCCCTCATCTGCCAATGACCTATATGACCTGCACAAGCAAACAGCAACCACACCTTCGCTGCAACAGATCTGTCAATTTTTCCAGAACATTGTTCAATCCTTCCCGATGGGGTTTACGTTGTCATAGATGGGCTTGATGAGCTATCAGGCAAAGCTGGTTATTGACATACCTTCCTAAACGAGCTTTCAAGACTTACGAAGTCGCTGTTGGGACTCAGCATCCTATTCACTTCTAGGCCTCTTGCGGTTGCAAAATTTCGGCATTTTTTCAGCCATGCTATTGAGATGAAAATCTTTGCTTCGTGTGAAGACATAGACAAGCTTATAGATGGCTATTTTGCGCAGCTATTACCCGATGCGCTCATTCGTAGTGATGTCAGTCTTGGAGAGGAAGTCAAGCGTACAGTGGCAAAAGCTGTTCGTGGAATGTAAGGTATCATCTAGCCTCTGGCTGAATCAAGCTAACTTCTGAGAAGGTTCATCCTGGCACGCCTTTACTTGGACTCATTTGACGACAAATTGTCGCCAAATCAGGCGCGACGGGCCCTAGAAACTATGAAGAACGAAAACCGCGGAGTGGAAAAGAAATCAATGGATGAAGCGCTGTGCAATGCTTACGACCACACTATGGCACGGATTGCTAGCCAAAGGCAGGACATCACCGAAAATGGGATGAACGTCCTATTTTGGCTCACGTACGCGCAACGACCCCTCATAGTTGATGAGCTCAGGCATGCGCTCGCTGTAAAGGTTGGAGCCGGAGACCTGAATAGAGGCGACCTCATACGCAATCTGGAATGCTGGACTAGCGGTCATCGATGATCAAAACCAAGTACGCCTGGCCCACTACACTACGCAAGAATATCTGGAACAGCGCTACTTCAGACGGTCTTTAAACACAAAGCCTCATGTCAAGATGATGGACGTTTGTGTCACATACCTGATGTTCTCTGCCTTCAAATTTGGGTATAATACTTCCAATCAGGACTATAATAAGAGGCTAACAGCCTACTTATTTTACAGATATGCTGCAAGATACTGGCATGCTCACGCTCGTCTCTGTTCTGCGCCCTCTGAGCCTCTCCTCAGATTTTTGCAGCGTAGAGATACGGAGGCCATTTGGGCTACAGTGCATTCTGATTACTTTAGGTCATTATATGACTGGACCCAAGTCCAATTAGGAGAATTCCACTTGCTTGTGAAGCATGGCCTCCACAAAGCTGCAGAAGCACTTCCTCAAGGAATGGAGGATCTGAACGCCCTATATGTTAACAGGACACCGCTGTACATGGCGGTGGAAGGCGGAAATATGAATATGGTCAGGATTCTCCTCCGTAAAGGAGCGCAAGTTCGCGTGCTCGGTGGATTGCCAGTACTTGGAGCATTTTGCCATGGAATATACGACACAACTGAGGTTGACGTCGCAATACTTGAGGGCTTGCTTGATCGAGGAGCTGAGATAGCAGATGCCAAGGGCAACTGCCCTCTGTTAGTCAAAGCGGCTGGGCTTGGCAGAGTGCAACTTGATCTCCTGGTATAAAGGGGTGCCAAGGTCGAAAGTCTAGGGCCCCGGGCCCCCTTCACCTTCAAGGAAGTTACCCCTCTCTGTGCTGCAGTAGCGAATGGGCATATAACGACGGCAATGTCTTTGTGGAAACATGGAGCTAATCCTAATCGGATGGTTGGTGGCCCTATCAATCTTCTCGCTTTCGATATAGTCGTTGGAGGACTGCCCGCGTCCCACAAAGCCGCTGAAGGACTGTCCGCGCTCCATGAAGCCGCCAAAGTTGGACATGAACCACTTGTTAGAGCGTTTCTTGGTCTTCAAGATGGCACAAAATGCGCCAGCCCTAGAGACCCCCCACACGACATTTCCAGTGGCGTGTTCCTGGATCATGCCCTCGGAGCAGAGAACCAAGACTCCTCTAAGGAGATAGTTGCGTCCTCGGTTCCCATAGCCGGGGTTATTGAGCTACGTGATAAAAGTTATGGCTATACCCCGCTGGCCTTTGCCGCACAATCGGGTCATCTTCATATTGCCAAGCTTCTGTTACGTTGCGGTGCCAATATCGAGGCGGAAGACTACTGGGGGGAAACTCCGTTATTACTGGCTGCTCAGGGGGCTCATGTCGAAATGGTTCAACTTCTCCTTGATGAAGGTGCCAATATAGAGGCTGTGGATAATTTCAAACCAACACCTTTATCAGTGGCAGTACCAGTATGGAATGCTCGTGTGGTCCAGCTACTTCTTGAAAAAGGAGCCAACCCTCTCGCAACAGATTGTCAGGGACACACGGCGCTAATAGCGGCAGCAAGGACAGCACAGGAGACTCTCATATCGTTAAACTACTTCTTCAGAAGGGTGTCAAAATCAACGGGTTAAATAACACGAAGGAGAGACCGCACTATTCTCCGCGGTATTTGGGGGCAAGCTGCCCTCACTGAGTTTCTTCTCAACAATGGCGCGGCTCTGGACGCCCATTGCAAGTATAGATAGCTAAATGTCTTATCTTGGGCAGAAGCTAATGGGGAGGCAGATGTTGCCCTGCTACTCGTTGAACACTTCCCCGATATTAGAGATAGGGAGGAGTGTGGTGAGACTATCTTGTGCACGGCTGTAAGGGCCCCAGACCTGGATGACTTGTGGAGGTATACTATACTCCCCCAAAAACAAGGCTCAGATTGGACAGAGATATTGACGGGGTCAGACACCGTTGGAGATTGCTATATTTTACGGCAATGTAGACATGGTTGTTGAGCAGGAGGACTCGCATGGTCGCAAACCCTTGGAATATACCATCTCTGCAGGGCAGGTGGAGTGCGTGAAGGCGTTACTAGAATGGGGAGCCAAGACAGACACTGAAACCTTTTGATTGGAGAGGTTGTTCGAGTTGGCGTTTGAAGGGGGTTTACAAAATCATCGGGAAACGTATCGGGTACTGCGGGACCACGTGCGGCGTGAGCACAGAATATATGTTGGAGTACAAACGTGTTCAAGCTCCACCGACACAAGAGATGCCAGAAAAACACCGGGAGTGGTAAGAATACGACGAGTGGGATAAATCATCTGTTTATCAATCGATGACCCCTAAAGCAGTGGACGAGAACCAGGAGAATTCCTCAAGCAAGGACTTGCAACACCAGATTTCGGACGCATTATCGCCAATCAGAGATGTGCCAGTGGAAACAACACCTGAGGAAGCATCAATCAAGGAAGCGCCACCAAAGGAAGTGTTGACAAAGGCATCATCAGAGGGAGCACCACGATTGAATGAACAACCGGTGGAACGACCATCAGCTGAGAAGTCACATGGTGGAGGTTCAAAACGCAAGCATTCACCGGAGGGTAATACCTCCAGTGAAAAATCTACCAAACGAAGTTTCACCGGCAACGGAGGGCACCGTTAGAACAAGATACCTGACATGAATTGCGCGCAAATAGGGAATGGGGACGGCCCGAGAAGCGGCGGGAGAGGGGGCGATCTGATGAGCCGTGGGAGGGAAACGACACGGCGACTTGCGAGGATGTAGCGACGGCCTGCGCAAATGTAGGCCCGCCGGTCACGAACTTCAGCACCGGAGCCCGAACCTGAGCGGGAGCTTGGGCGGGCGCGGCAAAGACGGTCTTGCGGTTGGAAGACATGCTAATTTTGTTGTTAGTTTCAGATTAGGCATATCATCGATAGGGTTTCATCCAAAAGATCTCTTCGATGTTGTAATCAAAGAATGGACACCAGGGCCCAAGTGACTTACATGTTGGAGTTCGTGGATGTAGTTATCTTCGGACAGATTTGGACGCGTTGCTACAGGCCGAGTGTTAATCAATCAAAGATCTGTTAGACCGAAGGACAATATCACAAGAAGATCTCGTGTGTAGATTGAGTTGGCTTCTCAAGTTTCCTCCACGAGAAATCGGACGGGGCGAGACACTGGTTTACAGGAAACCCTCTCACTCCACTACAGACTACGAACCCGCGAGCATGCCTCTGATTCGAGGAAAGAGCGAACAGTAAATTGACCGGTGGAAAAAAAGTCTGAACAGCAACTACTTGCTGTGCGAAATCGCGAGCCATTCCGTGGGAAATGTGCTTAAACCACCTCGTCCACCCTCAATGTAATCAGCAACTGGTTCAAGAGCATCCGCCAACTCTGAAGGGAGGGAACCTAAGGGAAGATACATTCGAGAGATGGGAGGCTTTCGTACCGCGTTTCCGCCACTAGAAGGCACGACGAGACGCTCGCAGTCTCTCCATCCAGTGGAGAAAAAGGTAAGATAGTCCCTTCTCGGTACTGCAGGAACAGCTGGTGAAGAAAACTTGATGATTACAATATGGTGGTTGGGGAGTGCTTACCTGACTGACACGCACCTTCCACCGAACTTGCATAGTGGAAAGGCAGAAGGAATGAACCAGTTGTCAACATGGTTTTCAGAGAAATCAACAGCATCAAATTCTCGAAAGGGAATATGGGTGTTGTCAACATACCTAATTTTCAAGGCAACCGATAGTACACTTATCAATTTATCGGGATGGGATGCCTGTAAGAAGACAACCCTGGCACGTCAGATCAGAGGATGAAAAAGTGCTCTCCACTTCCCGTCACGTACTAATATATCCGCCGCGGCCCGCCTACTTCGCAGCGGGCCGCATACAGCCCAGTATAAATTTGCGCCATGTGGAATTGTGCACCTATCAAGTATGCAGCAAAGGGAAGGTCGTGGCCTGACAGGCAGCATCGCGAAAAACCGCTTGCTTAAGTGAATGTCATTGTATTACCTATCCAAAAAATGCAGAGAATCCACAATGCAATTTCCGGTTTATTGATCTTGCACGGCACAAACGGTGAAGGCGGACAAGATTTCGGCTTGGTGTCGGGTTCGATTCATGCTCGAGGCAGAACATTTTCGCCCATTCAAGGTCGTTCCTACATTTGCATGGCCTAGCACATTCGCCTATAGATAAATCGCAGAGACCTGTACGCAGGGAAAAAGACTTTGGATATGGACGTCCAGCTTTTCGTTTCTCACGGAAAGCTGAGGGGGTGTGTCAGAATTATAGGTGAGCCTATTGACCCGCTACTCCTACGCTGTCGGAGCTTGGTGTAGTGGTGCCAATCTGACAGTTTTCGGACCCATTGGGGGCTGGTGGCATTGTGGAATTGTCTGGGTCTATTCTAAGGGCTAAAAGCGTTGGTTTTGTGACAATTCGCCAAAGCCACAAGCAAATCACGATACGGTGAGGAAGTATTCTTTTTCTTGTTTTCTTCTTTTTTTTCTTCTTTTTTTTGGTGCCGATGCATACATTATTATATCACGTGCATACCGTGCAGCGGTACGTGTTCCTGCGTTAAGGGGTGAAGCACCTGCATACGATGCACCATTGAGTTATAGGCCAAAATCCCATTATCTTCAAGCCAAAAATCCAATTATTCCCGCGGCGGCTGCCAAGCAAACCACACCTGCAACAGCCAGCCTCTGAGCGGCGCTGTCCTCCGGGCAGTCGGCCGGAGGATTTAGGGTGCGTAAGGGGTCGCACAATTGGCCCTTAAGGACGCCGTCATGCTGGCGGCAACGGCCGAGTCCACCTTGACCTGGCAAGGGGAGGCGCTTGGTTCGGGGGATCCCACCACTGCGCAAGTATTATCTGGCAGCTCCTCCCTATGGGGAACGGACTGAGTTTTGCCGGTGATTTTGATCGCAGCTATGCTCTCGTCGGAACAAGTTTTGTCGTTGGCCGTGGCAGCAACGAGATCTACCGCCTGGCCGCCCTCTTTGATGGTGAATGTAATGCTTCGAGATGTCATGTTGACAAGAACGGGATCGCCAACACTCTGGAGGTTCTTCCAACGCTCGTTGCAGCTGACATAGAAGACTTTCCAGTCGAGACGCCAGGTTCCCTCGCTCCGGAGGTCGTTGCGGAAGTTGTGAACAAAGTAGGGGTCCTGGCTAGACCAGTTTACCCATTTTATGTTGTCATGGGTGTAGGAAAAGCCGTTTTGTCCAAAGTCGGACGTGTTCCATCCCCGGTATTCGATAAGAGGACTGATATATTTTGAGAGCTCGCCATTTCGGATGGAGAAACAAAAGGCATCCACTCGGTGGGCGCATATGTCTCGTTGCGCGGGAAAAGAAGGTCGACCTCGATGATGCCAGAATCCGCAGCGTCAGCAACGGTCCCAAGACTGATCAAAGAGAGCAGGAGGGACCAAGCTGTGCGGGATGGGAGGTGCATGTTTCTCGAAGCTGGTGTCAAGCAGCTGAAGTCGAAGTTGCAAAGGGCGGCGGTGATGTAAACTATGCCGGGTGCCGCAGAGAATGACACTGACGGGAAGCGTGTCAGAGCAGAAACATGGTGCAGTGATGGAAGAAGTGAGAGTGGAGGAAACGGTCTGGCAAGAGATAGGCGAAGAGGGTTGAAGGTTGAAATGGATAAGGAGCGGCAACTGCAGCCTTGCAGGGGAGAACGGTTTGGTGGGTGGGACTGAGCACAAGCCCAGTTCGTCAAATGAGCGGAGACGATCCACTGTGCCTGCCAAGGCTATATGCTTGGCGTGGAGGATTTGCACCATGGCTGGGATACTCCTTGCTGATTGGTGAGCCGCGTTCCGAACGACATGCCTCGATCCATTTCTATCGGATACCAACCGCCAAGGTACGTACCGCATAAACTCAGGCATGTCTTGTGCGAGACACAAGACGACGAAATGAAGGAATCAATAATGAGTTGTATTGAGTTCGGCCTGGGCTGGCAGCGAACTACGATAAGTTTTACAAGGTAGCTTCCAGCGGCTCGTGTGATACTATTGCCTCAAGTTCAAGAGCGGCAACAGCTGCTGGAGCATCTACTCGAGCGCTGGTATCACGTTTGAGCAGTTCAGGAAGTACAATACCCGGGTTGATGCCAACTGCAGCAACTTGTGGCGGGTATATTATGTCTGCATTGGTGTCTAAGAGCTTCGCTTCAAGTGGTTGAGATGATTGGCATGGTTTAAGAGAACGGGGAAGAAAGAGGTTAAGGAGAAAAGCTGGAAGAATGAACCTGGGGGGTTGGAGTTGTTGGATGGAGAGATCTGAGGCTCAGTGGAGTGATCTGAGGAGAGATCAAAGTCCTCTTGCTTAATCCTAATGTCTTTTTGTATCCTCTTTTTGAGCCGTTTGCTTTTGTTTTTGTTCCTTGAAGTTGCCGCCAGCTCAAGCGCATAACGTTCATGTCTGGTTCCGGCAATAACCGCCCCCAAAAATTTGCCAGCGTGAGTGTACGGTGTTTGGTTTCTGTTTTGCTGTTCGCTGTTTTCGACGACGCCGAAGTCCAAGTTGATGTTTTAGCGCGTTGTTTGCTTTCGTTGTGTTGGTGTTGGTACTAGGAAGCGCCGCCAAGTTGTAGCTTTTATGTTGGATGTCCTGACACACTACCATAAGCTCGATCCGTCCTCCCTTGGTTGGATAGTTGGCCATCCTGCTTGCCTGTTTGGGACTGTGGTGGATCTCTTCTGTTTCGAAGATTTGTATCACTCATACTGCCCATTCTCGAATTACTATACCTCCATCTGTTGCTTTTTTGTAAAGTGGGCAACAGCGCTGCGGTGAATTTCGGTTCACAAGACCAAGACGCTGGTGTCGGTTGTAGAAGGGCTCTTTGACCGTTGCGGGCTTTTTTTTCTTCTTTTTTTTTCGTAATTAACGCTTGTTAGCTGATGTAATCTGGAGGATTTAATTCGGTCCATTCTTGGGCGCTTGCTGCAGTTGCTTGGGCTGTTGGCACAGAGATTTTGAGGGTGTTTTCCTACGCCGCTCTGGCGTTGGGACAGTCTTCTTTGTTAATATGTCGCTCCGACATTTTTCCTTCAATGTTTGAATGTTATACTCGTTTTCTTTCTTTCGCTCAGATCAGGAGGTCGATGTTGGCCTCAGATTCGGCATCTATGGTGAGTGTCCTCTTGGTGCGAGCGCTCGTCCCATTTGGTGAGTAGAGTGAAATGCGTTAGGTTGGCCATGTTCATCTTAATCCTTCGGCTGATCATATCCCTCTTCCCTCCTTTGTCGAATATCTGATGTTGGCCGTAAGTTGCCATTGTTCGCGACGCTGTTCGTTTCTGATGAGGTTGAGAATTTGGTAATTTCATCCATGCCACTCATCATCTTTGGTTGGCAATGGTATTGTGGCCACCTTCGTCGGCGCTCGACGTCCTTTGTGATAGAGTGCACGTGTCTAGCAACATCACATGTTGGTTGAATGACGGACTGACTCGGCCGGGACGAGGGAAGAAGCAATTTTAGATATAAAAACGAGGGACCAATGTCTCGAAGAAGATGATTTGATGTTGCCATCATCAGCAACTTGTTCATTTCAGCACTGCACAGCTCAACTTTTCACTGTTCCCATCACCAGAGTTACCAACAGCGACTCACATTCTCAACAACAAGAATCACCCTGACAGCACCTTTACAAAAATACTACCTAAACCATGTCCCAGCAAAATCCCTCTACTCCCATCTACCCCCTCGGCGTCTTCCCCGAAAAAACTCAGGAGTTCTTTGTACAAGCAACCAAGGCCTCTGATTTGGAGGGTGCTGTTAAAAGCAAGCTTAAACAAGCCCATGAGTAGTTCACAACTTGGTTGAAGGGAAATGGTGTGAACATAAAAATGATGGCCGATAATGTTGAGCAGGCTAAAAAAGACTGGAAAGTGGTCCCCGATAATCATGATGGATATCTAGGGCTGTTCATGAGGTTTAGAAAGATGTGGCCTAACATTCATCTGAGTAAGTCTCATTACCACTCAGATACGAGAAGAAAATGACACAACAAATAGGTAGCTGACACTGGAGGGGTTTAGTTGAACAGGCTATGGTCAAAGACGCACAAACTCCGGTCTATCCTCCTCGTCTTGCCAGCCTCTTCGGTAAGATGAAAAACAAAGACATGCAAAAATACGCCGAGTGGTGGGCCAAGATGCAAGACAAGGACAAAAACGGCCCGCCGGTGCCCGCATCCACCGTTGAAAAAGCTGCTGAGCAGATTCACACTGCTACTGACGCTATCATATACTCTTGGGATACGGATCTTGCGCCTGATTGGACGAAGAAGGAAGTAGAGGCGCGACCTTTGAGCGGCATTAGTGAGTGTGATGGTAGTGGAGATCAAAAGGTGGACTGATTCGAGACCATTATCTTTCTCATCGTACCTTCCATGCTACGAAAGTAGTAGGTACCTGGATGCATCGTTTGAATCAGTGGGAAGAGAGACTTGCGGGAAAGTCTATGGGAATATGAGGTTATCGCGGGATTTTCGCTCTTTTAGTTCAGCATTGACCTACCTACCCACCAACCCCCCTCTTTAAGACATAAAAACATTCCAATCATGTCTCAATCGCATCCACACAAAACCCCTTCCATCGCAACCACGTCATCCTTCCCCCAGCCGCATCCTCAACCTCCTCAACCTCCTCGCCCTCAACCTCCCCAAAACCCCTCCACCCTAATCTACCCCCTCTTCATCTTCCTCTTCGAAACCGAGCAATTTTTGCTAAAAGCACTCCGGAGTTACCGCCTGGGTACAGGTAATTTGGATCCCCTAGCCCACGAAAAGCTCGATTCCGCCTTTACCAAGTTCAAAGGATGGGCAACAAGCAACGTCGACCACCTCAAGTGCCTGGCTGAGGATATAGAGAACAGCAGCGAGTCGGGGATGCACCAGCCGAGGAATTACAAGGCTTACCAGATGCTGTTTTGGCGGTTTAAAGGGTTGTGACCTAATGTTTATTTAGGTATGTATGTACACTAGTAGGTACCTTGCGTGCCTGTAGGTTGAAAGTTAACTGAAAGTTTTAGTAAATGGGTGTTGTGAACGTGAGGGGAGAAAGGTTGTGATAAGCATGGATGAATGGATGGATGAATGGCTAACGGTAGCCTGCACGACTGGTAAAACATATAGTCCAAAAAAAGTTAGCAGAACGCCAACGAGCAAGAGCTTCCCAGGGGCAACAAACACCAGGGGCAGTTATACCGGAGTATTATACTCCTCAACGCGATGAAATCCTCACGCTCTTCAAGAAATTCAAAAGCCCAGTTATGATTCCCTTTGCCAACTGGTGGGCGGAGCTACAAGACAAGGAAGAAGGCCCGCTGTTGCCTGCGCGAAGCTTTAACCAGGCTATAGATCAGATCCTGTCATCTATTAAGGGCCTTGTACATGTTTAGGATACGAATATTGCGCCAACTTTGGTACCGGAGTCGGAGAAGGAGGCGGTGCCGCGAGAGGCGAGTGGTAGTGAGTGGGGTGGGAGCGAGTGAGTAGACCCAAAGGAAATAAAGGCTGAAGAGTGTTTCTCGACTCCTTTGCAGAAAAAATGACAAGCTTGGTGTGGGTGTTCAGGCGCAAAGTAAACAGAAGTAATTCGCTAGTGCCCTAATGATACCTACCTGTACCTAGCTACATTGTTCTTGTGAGTAACGCATGTTAAACGAGCATGTTTGGCGATGATGTGAGTCAGTAGTACATCTGAACCACAACAACGAGCGGCATGGGCAGGAAGGAGAACCAACACACTGACTCACCAGTACAGGTTGAACATGATTTCAAGTCTTGCGAACCATCACAGATGTGTAAAAACGCTGATCGTTGCAAGTATTACGCTAGTCCTGCTCAAAACAAAGTTGGCAGTTATCCAAATCCCGTAACATATGTGACCTCGGGAACGCTTTCAAATCCAAGCGTGGATGTGAGTAAAAGGAAATATGTACTCGTGCTCCCAAATGTGTCCTCGTTACTCCTCCTCATCGTCAGTGTCCGGAGTCAGTTTCGGGGGAGAGCCAGCTTCAAGTTCCACCGTCTCGAGTCTACTGTCGCTATCCGGACAAGAAACCTCTTCTTCATCGAAGATAATCCGCTTGACTTTGCCCTTTCAGTCTACATTCTCACCATAAGTGGTTCCAGAAAAAGAAGGAGTGTTTACAAACGTTCTCGCGTCATCGTCTTCCTCATATAGCGTTGTCCTATCCTCTCCATCGCTATACACCTTCCCAAATTTCGGAGACTCCGAAGGCCCACCAACCTCTCCGCGCCTCTTGACTTTCGACGTATCATCCGCGGGTGGGGGGGTACGCTTTTTAGCTTTACCGCGAGCATTTGGAGACGGAGGGGACCCAATTACAGCAGCAGACGATAAAGTTGCAGAAGCGAGTGCATGGTCCACAAGAGACAAAGGAGCCACATTCAACGGAGCATCAGCTTCTCCCTCAGTACTCGGCCACACATCGTCCTCCTCATCATTCAGCATCTTGAATCTCGGAGACTCCGAAGGCTGACCCACTTGTCCGCGCCTCTTGACCTCCATGGGCTCCTGCGTATATACTGAGGAGCGCCTTTTCGCCTTTGAGGCCAGAGAGATGTCGTGGGTTGGGAACATTTCATCGTGTTCCTCCGACCTTGAGGACTCGGCGAACCTTGATCTTGGAGGCATCAGAGCCTCGGGAGATTTTTGGAATCTAATGTTCCGAGATACCCCAGCGGGCTTAGGGGTTTCAGCCACCTTTGATGCTTTAGCGGGCATTAGGGATTTAGCGGGATGCATGACCTCGAGAGACGGGAAGATCTCAGCGGGCTCCAAAAGTCCGGCCGACTTTGGGGCCTGTACAGCAACGGCATCCACAACTTTGGCTTTTTTCCTCAGCTCCTGAACCCCCTGCGTGAGTGAATCGATCGTATGATCTAAGATCCTTTCGAACTCTGACCTTGCCAGCTCCAGGGCATCAATAGTGCTCCGGAAGTCGGTCCGGTGCGCGCCGAACTCGGCAGGCGTGTTCTGAGTGTTGGGAGATTGAAGCGGTTTTTGGTAACTTGCAAACCCAACGGGCCTCCTGAACCCCTCCACGGATTTCAGACTTTCGGGAAGCTTTGTGAATTCAACAGGCTTTCGCGACTCGGCAATCTTTGGGAATCTGGGTAACTTCTGTGTGGCTCCCGAGTACTTTAAATATTGGACAGACATTGCCTGTTCAGTAATTTTCCCCAACTTAGCGGTCTTTGAGGACTCCACAATCGCTGGGGATCTCGGGGACGCCAAAGATTGGAGAGACTCCAAGCCTCTTTCGGGAGCCTCTGCCAATTTAGCGGACGAATTGGGGACGATAACAGAAGCCTCTGCCGGTTCATCGGATACATCCGGGACAATGATAGAGACTTCCACGGGTTCCAGATCAACGGACGCATCGATGACGGTGATGGCGGCAGCAAACGAACTGATGGATTCGGCAATTGTTGGAGACTCGGCGGGCAGAGGTGATCTCCCGCGAGGGAGGGGAGATCGATGGGGTTGAAAGAGTCCAGGGAGGTTGGTAACTCCGGCGGGCTTCGAAAGAGGTGTGCGGTTATAGATGGCCCTAGCGGTACTGCTCTGGTTCAACTCCTCTCTGACCTTTGCAACTTGGCGCAGCTTCAAGATTGTAGCAGGCTGAGACACGTCGAGATTTTGACGCGAAATCCCCATTCGTGAAGCTGCCCTGAGCCATATTGGCCTTTTCATCATTTTTTCCGCAGGGTCGGCCTTCGTTGTTCTTGTGTTGACCACTTCGAGATATTCCTCCTTGCTCATTTGGCCTAACGTCTCAACACGTGGTATTAAAAGGAGTTGCGGAGCGTTTACAAATTCCGATATACCATCCACTGTCTTGAAAGTGAGGTTCTCTGCATACGGATACCGCGGGCATGCTTTCTCCTTCCCTTTCCGAGAGTGCGCATTCCCGCGACGGAGTTCTAACAGCTTCTTGAGTTGTGGGTCTACGTAGTAGTCTTCGCTCAAATCTTGAAGTTCTTGCTCGCTGAGGTGTTTCAGTGATTCTGCTGCTGCGTGGAATATCCGGTCATCGATCTTTGAATCGGAGAGCTCATCAGTGGACTCGTCAATGGACTCGTCGGCTGGCTTGTCGGCTGGCTTGTCGGTAGACTTTTCGACGGGATGCTCAGTACACTCTTTGATAGGGTTGTCAGTACACTCTTAGAAGGCACCAAGACCAAGACACGAACATACCTGCTTGGTGCTGCGATACCAAGGGCTTCATGAGCTCTTCCATGGGCATGTCGGTGGACTCTCTAGCGGTTTTGTCTGTGGACTCTTCAATTGGCTTGTCGACAGAATCTTTGGCGGGCTTGTCTTTCAACTCATCAGTGGACTTGTTGTCGGTAGAGTCTTCGCTGTCGAGAGAGTCTTCACTGTCGGAGGAACCTGGTTCCCACAAAATCCAGTCGGCCATTTCTGGTTGTTTGCGTAGCGCTTTGGAGACGAGGAAGGCGAGTGGTCCGATCCCCCCTCCAAAGTCCCAATATATAATATCGTAGAGCAGCCGGTATAGCCTTCTCAGGCAGTCTTGCAGTGCCTGGGACTATCCAGGCAGGTCTGAAGTCTGTTGAGCACGGGAATGTTAAACAGTCTACTTGGTTTCGCCCAGTATTTCCTGGTGGCAGAGGAAACACGGAAGTTCATTACGTACCGTCCCTCTCGTGGCGATCAATCCATGTGCTAGCGCGATGTCAATGTCCGGCTGCTAGAATAGACATGTTGTAGTGTCAGAAAGCCTCTTACCTGCATTGATCTCGCCCATAACCAGTGCTAAAAGGGTCCCGACATCATGTTCTTGATCCGGATCCTCCCAGGTCACGCCCCAACCTTCGTCCTCGTCGTCATTATTATCTTCCGGATTAAGCTCTTGTCGATGAAAGGCCTTGACCCAGCTGATAAAAACCTGGTTGGCATCCTCGACAGCGTAGAATCTAAAGCCGGATTGTATCATGAGCTCACACAGGGTTCCCAGTCTGTGAGCGGTGCGAGTGACGTTTTGGGGCGAAGCGAATATAGGGCCCGACATCTTGAAAGTGATGCAAATCCGTCGTTGACACAACGGAAAAGGATGATAAGGTGTGGTGTGAACGAAAGAATATCGAGCTAGAGTGTGGAGATGATAGGGAGAAGAAAGAAAGCAAAACCGAAAACAGCCCGCCCGAACGGATGGAAATGACTGGTGGTCCACTCTGTCTGTTGCAGACCGAATTCTTTCCGCTTGCCTATGGTAGGTAGGTACCTTTCGGCACCCATGGCGTGATCGCAACTGCACATGTGTTCACCCTTCAAAATTAGGTATTCTTTCCTCGCGAAAGAACGCTCAGCTTGGTCAGGGAAGTACCTTCCCTTTGGGAAATCAAATCACGACGCAAAAACAAATGAACGCAAAGGAGTCCCTCAGCATGCTTCTGACAACTGGATGGTACAGACAACAGATGGCATGCATACCTAGGCAGGGATATCCGCCCTGGCCTTTCTTTCACGCTCAAGGAAAAAAGCCCACCTGGTTCTTTCCCCAGTCCCGTTCTGACCTATGATCATGTAGAGGTGCCCGAAGTGGTTGTAAAGATGAACCGAAAACGGACAGCCCAACACGGCTCGCCTTGACTCTGTGAAGACCGTTTGACAATGATGATGGGGATTCCAAAAGACTGAAGACACCTTTCGCTTCATGAACTGCTTGAACTTGGTTTCGAAGGCATGATCAGGACGTTTGAATATGCATGAAAGTATGCTGGAGGTGTGTGTGCTGATCGTGACGTATCCGGTCTATTCTCAAGACCACTCGACGACCCTGGAGATGACCAAGGTGACTTGCCAGAATGGAACCTATGCATGAGCTGACTCCTCCCTGTACCGCGGACTAATCTCCCAAAGTTTTTCAATGACTCTTGGATCGAGGTGGAAAGCACCAGAGTCGTCGTCCCCTTCCTGGACCCCGTTGTTTGCGCCATCTGTGCCAGCTCGCCTCTCCCGGGCCTCCCGAATCCTCCGATCATAGATCTCGTCAATCTCACGGGCAGTGTACCACCGACCGGTCTTCATGTTGAGTAGCCGAATGTCTTCGCGGGAGCGCAAGTTTGCAACGAGATGGGCCGCGAAAAACCATGAGCCCAAGGTAAACGCGCCCCGGAGGCAGCAGAGGTGGGCTTCCTTGAGGTTGGGAAATGACCTGAAAATCCAATGAATTCTGAAGCTTTTAAAGAAAGTCCCCGCAAACTTGATCCTCGTAACTGATTCGGCAACCGGTACAAAGTTCGCTATGTCGTCAATTCTGAGTTCAAGCATGTCGATATCGAGGTTCAGCCAGACGTAACGCCGCTCGCTGCCTTCGGGACATCTTCAGCCTCAGATAAGCACTTTTGGTATAAGCCGAGGGAGCGAGCCTCGCGGCATGTCTGCAGCGGTGCTGGTACCGGCGTTTTCGACACGATATGTTTGGAGTCATATCATTTTATGTCCCTATCAGGCCACCTATGGCGATCTGGGTAGGGACCTCTGTCTCTGTGTACCTCGGCAACCCGAGGCTCGAAGGGGGTACTCGTCGGGGCTTGAAGCGACTGGCTTCCCCCCTGAGGCACAACCTGGACACTAGGAAACGTGACACGGCGATACTTGATGTGGGTATGAACCTCAACCACCCGAGGCTCAACCGTCATATTCCAGACGTGAACACGGAGCTCCCAAGGGAGAAAAGGAAAGAGGTGGAAGGTGGTGGCCATGACATATATCTGAGTAAGCGGACTGGTTAGTAATTCGGGAGGAAACATAAATGTGTAGTCCAGTGAAAGAAAAATGGTGTTTGACGGTGCCGTTACATTCCACCGACAGCGTACCGGAATAACCTGCAAGCTACCATAAACCACTCCGAACCTCAACATCAACGCCGTCCTGGCTACTCCTTGTGGTGGCAATTACAGCTTTCAGCACGCTTACGCACCTCAGCTAAAAGAATTGGGTGATGTGCGCCCCGCGGTGTTTTCGGACGTTGTCTGTGAGGATGGAAGAACCAAACCGAGGCAGACTGGTCAAGGCGGGGTAATTACATTACCCGGTAATGTACAAGGTTGCATTGGCGCTACACTGCTCGTGGTCTGGTAGTCTTCCTCACAAAGATGCTGGGATTGTGCGATGGTCAAATTCTTCTAGATTTGCAGGTTTTGCACAATGTTGTTTTACGAATGCTTGTTGTCGGTATTCGAGCATCATGGCGATGCAAAGCGGGTAGAAGTGGACGGTCCCTTAAGTGGGGCTGGTCTTCCTTGATAATGGGTACTGCGGAGCCACCTTTCCATAAAAATCGGACCATATCAGTTCAATCGGGTATGGTGTAGCGGTAACATCGTTGACTCTCACTTCTTAGGAGTGACTGCTCTCTCAACAGCCCCGGGTTCGACTCCCGGTATCCGAGTCTCAATATCTTTTTGATCATTCTTTGATCTTCTGTTTTCTTTTTTCTTGTAATCAATTGGAACCCTCAAGCCAACAACAACCTGAAGACATGCTGTTTGTTTTTTTCCTCGAGTTGTTCGCCACTTCCCACTGTCTTGAAAGTCCTAGGCAACAGGGGAGGAACTGCCCATGTGCAAGCATGCCCAACAAGCAGACTACACGGCATCACCCGTGAGGCTCAGAGACACGCATAGCTTGTGTAGCAGGAAGTTTTCCTATGTGTAACCAGTATGGGTAACCCGGCTGCAGACAAAGGCGGCATAGGCGGCTCACAAGGCTTCTTTCCCTTGCTTGTAGCTTCCACAGTTGGTCGGAGTTGTCCGTGGTAAGATCGGGAGTGAAAAGTAAAGAGTTTGGTTTCAGGTTGAGTGTAGAAAAGGAGGCCCAGAGGCCTCAGACAGAAAACAGCGTTGTGGTGGCATCCAACCACGAGTGTCATAACAGGGAGGAGGTGCTGGAGTTACGCGATAGGCCGCTACTCTCGTCATCCTGAGGGCACGAGGAGGGGATGGAGAGACATCAGGTCTTGTAGCTATTCGAGAAGACATGATTCGTCAAGACCTATCGGTGAGCTGGGGAATGTTGAGGTCCACGATGACATGCTCGATGTTCCTTCAACTTGGAGAAGTCGGATGAAGGGTCACTTCAGAATATGGCGTTGAACTTTGGGTTGCCACGCCTAACACGGGCGGAACGTCGAGTATCGGAGCATCAACCGAGTCGTAGGCTCCCATCCTTTAGGGACTGGGCTTGTTGTGCATGCTTTGACCCCACAAATATGGGAAACTGCCAGTGGGGACGCGCTGTTGAGGCTATTCCATATAAGGTCTAGCTACCGTCTTGCTTTCTCTTCAACGGTTCGGTTGGGATCCTGGTTGTTGATCACACGGAAGTTGGCAGTTGGGTCGGGAACGCCGTCACCTTCTTTCATTTTATTTCGGCTGCATGCTTCTCAGCAGTTCAGCATCCGCATTTCAACCAGCAGAGAGGCAAACATGCCTCACCGTACGCACCAGCACGACCCTCGCCGCCTGGGCGCATGTCAACACATTCCAGTGCTCGATGCGCTGCAATGCATCTAGTGTGCATTTGTGTGCGATATCCGGCATCGAGTACCGTCCGTCTGTATCCCTACATCTAAAGGTTCCAGAATGCTCGGCCCGACCTCAGCGACGATTCAGTTGGTTTCCGTGGAGGTTAGCCTGAAGCTCAACAAGGCATGGCGCCCAGCCCCAAGACCCAATTCCCAACACACTGTGATCTTCTGTCACTTTTTCATCTCCTTTTGCAACATGAACCTGACAACCTGACCCCGAAACCTTATTTGGACCTCAGCCAACGAGCGGGACGATACTGGCGACATTGGCGACAGTGGCAACTGAACAACACCAGATTGTCAGCACTAGAAGAGACTCTGGATGGCCACCCCATTTACCCTTGTCAAGCAACTTTGCTTCTCTCCCACACTGTTGTTTGTCCCCTCTTGAGGGCTTTTACAGAAGAGCGAGCCCTTCGTCATCCGAAATTCGAGGTCCTTCGGCATTGCTCGATGAGCTATTACCTACTTTGTGCTCACTGCCTCAAACCCAGTACGACGCCAAGGATCCCCACGAAATACCCACTCATCTCTCTCCGTCCCCTCCTGCTGTGTCTCCAATGGCGTTGTGGGGAGCATCATCAGCTCCCTGGCTCCCGGCTTGTCGGGACCGATCCAAGGTTGGTCGCTCAACGGCGGGGATATACGAGTGGATGATCCGTCTTACCTGAACCACGCTCGGTAAAAGATAGACATGCCTCTAGCATGCCTACCTACCTGGGATATCCATGCTGTCTATATGTTTCACGCTATAGGATGTGGAGACGATGGTCTATTAGTGCTCATCTCTTTGCTAGTACAAACTTCAACGTCACCACTGATATTGAGTTCAGGCAGGTAGGCAGGTACCCATGGTCTCCAAGAGCTCGAAAGACATCAAAGCCTGCAGGCCTGACGATTCCATCAACAAAAGAACAGGTGTGTCTGCTGTGCCTGACGGTCCCTACCTATCTCACCACCAAAACCACATCCGCCAAGCCCCAAACATGTACATGCCGATACCTGAACCACACCTACTATACCAGTATACATCCATATACCTCACCCACTCACAAAGCTACCTTACATACAATCTCGCGTTAACGTTTCGCTACAGCAGACGCAGAAAGACGTTGCTGCAGCGTAGTATCCGCCCACCCACCCACACCCATTCCCATCACAACACCCAACCCTTCCCTCCTTTACATTGCTGTAAGGGAATTGCTTGGCGCGCAGATTGCCAGATTGACACCCTGCCTTACATGCACACCGGTCTAGCGCCCAGCCTTTTTCCACAGCTTCGCCGGGGCTCCAAAAAGTCTGCCTTCCTATTCCGAAAGTCCGAACTGCCTGTCCCACTCCTTAACCACTGTTACTTACGTACGGTACAGTTCATGCATGTCATATATGCTTACAGCAACTGCACGGTACATATAACCAACCTCGTTTTATTAACGGGCAGCGAGTGTACCTAGTGTACCTAGTAAATTGGGAAATAATATCCCAACCGGACTATCCAAGGGACCAGCCTCCGCTGGTCATCATTGGCAATGCAGGTAACAATGGAAAGTTGATATCATATTACGGTCTCACTACGACTGGACCCCGCTTGCCGTCTCCCCGAGCCGGTGGTGGCTTACGCATCTACACCGAGAACTGAGGGGTCCAGGCAGGGTCGGGGCCCGACCATCATGAGACAATGAGGTAATGTCAGGAGGAAAATGAGCAAGTCCAACTATGTGAGGGAATTTGGGTCGGATGCAGAGTGGAATCAGCGATAGAAGGGGAAAGGAGGAATTTGGGAGGAAAGAAAAAAAAGAAGAAAAAGAAGAAAAAAACCGAGAAGAAACGGAACGCTGAATGCATATGCCCGCAGGCATTTCAGGGTCTTTCGGTTTAGATATCCCACTACCTATCAACATTTGACGCCACACACATCCCTCTGTACAGCTACAGCGGCGGCATAACATGGAACCCGGACCAAGGCTGGCTGGGAGTTTCAAGCAACCAAGATATTAGACCCGACGCTTGCACATCCCCAAAACAGGCGGTACTCATTAAATTCCCCATCATCATCAGCCCATATCCAAGCCATCGGGCTCCAAGTGCTGTGTATGCCGTGTGCAGTGCAGTGTAGCCCTTTTGGCCCATGTTTCCATGCCGGCTCCCTTCCCGCCCTTACACAGCCTTGAAAATCCCACCAGTCGGTCGGTCGGTGGGGTCGGTCGGGTCGGTCGGCTATCTGTGTCATACCCCCTTTCCCCTCTCCCCCTTCACTGTCCAACTGTCCGTCTTCTCTCTCTCACGTATGGCAAGATGGATGGATGGATCATACCACCCAACCTGACTCTATAAGCCCAAGGACGGGAAAAGAAGCAAAGTCAAAAAGTTTGATGACCTACCTACCTACCACTAAGGATAAGGTAGTGGCCAACGGACGGCGGCACGGCTTATTCCGCGGGGGGGACGGTTCCGGGAGTTTCCTGGGGGGCTGGAGGGATTCCAGGCCAGGGGAGGTGTGAACTAAAGTGTCAGCACGGCTCGGCTTCTTGAGGTTGTCTCCCAACCAAACGGAAGCCTTTCCCCCATATAAGATAGGTAAGGTAGGTAGGTAATTAGGTAGCGCTTGTGCACAATTTCTTTCACATTGACTGAGTCGAGACCTAACTAGGTCCTCGACCACCTAGGCCGGCGATCTCTTGAGTGAAACACTGCCTTGGTACACTGCTTAAGCTGAGGTGAAAACAGGAAGCTGCGTACA